TCTTTCTTTCTTTCTTTCTTTCTTTCTTTCTTTCTTTCTTTCTTTCTTTCTTTCTCCCCTCGCTCTCTGATGCTGTGGGGTCTGCAGCTGAAGTTGCACCACTGACATAAATTTGGAAGTGCCAAGTGTAGCTGTCAGCCTCCATTTACACACATTCAGTAGTGAAGTGAAGACACGAAATGGTTTTTTCAGCTGCGGGTGTGTTACACAAACATCAGGCGCCCACTAGAACATTGGCCTTTGTTATTTTTAACTTTAGCTAATTTTTCAGATTAATGTTTTTTTCTCTTTACCTTGGCATCTGCCTGCACACTCCTGAGCTCAAGGTTGCTGAGCTCTGGCACAGTTTCATTTGTGTGTGTGTGTGTGTGTGTGTGTGTGTGTGTGTGACAGAGTGAAAGAGACACTTTATGTCAGGTGAATTATTAGGGAACTTGTGAAATGTTATTAAATATAAAATGTGCAGTACATACTGCACGTCTAAAATCTGGTGTTACTGTCCCTTTAGCTTTCACAGTCTGCAGTCTAGCAGGTACATTACATGTAGATAATGGCTACACGATCAATATTCCATGGAATGATAAGCATTTTTTTACTATTTTCAGGCTCATTTTATTGTTCCATGATTCCGAACCAAGCTTTTCTATAACGTGACTTTGAAATATTGTTGCGTGAAAACACCTAATCACCTACTGTGCACACACACAAGTGAAAGGTTTCACTGACGAAACACACTTTCTGATTTTGGAACTTGTCCTAATAAACTTTGAAATCACTGTAATTCGAGAAATTAATTAATTAATTAATTAAAGCCTGTGTTTGCAACATAAATTAAATGAACTATTGTGCTTACGCTGTCATGTGCTTTTATCATATACTGAGAAAAAAAATGACAGGAGCTCTCACAAGGAAACAGAGAAATGAGAAGACAGAAAGAGGTAGTAGAGAGAAAGTCAATCTTAGTAGAAGACTGTGGCACACTGTGTATTTCTTGGCAGCGACTGTTTGAGGCTGTTGATTCTTGCCTGCCGCACACGCACACACACACACACGCACACACACACGCAGTAAAACACACAGTAAGTTGCCTGTGGCTCATGTAAAACACCCAAAACACTGTCTCTTGGCAGGTTGGCGTGGGGACAGGTGATAAAAGTGTGTTTACCCTAAACAGCTCGCTGGCTGCCTCAGCGCTGATTTACTATGACTGTGTCCCTGAATCCACTTCTTATCTCCTTCACCTTCCTTCTGTCTCTCCTTAACCTAATTTTATCGCTCGTTGAACCCGTACGTTTTTCTCTCCTGAAACTGAATGGCTTACAAACAGTTAAGAACAGAAACTGATCTCAGTGTTAGACGGGAAGAAAAAACTTTATGTCCAATAATGCTAATGTCTCTTTCATTCAAGGAAATAAAGCAGTATTTGGAATAGCATCTCTGCATATATATATCAGTACTTATATATTAATAGAATTTTGTGAAGGATTTCTCACTTTTTACTTCTCCTCTTTTCTCTTTAATGTCCTTTTCATTACCTATTTCTTTTCCCTTTCATTTCGTTCGTTTAAGTTTGAGATGAAGCAAGTATCTTCCGCATCCTCAGGACTGTCGTTGTCTGTCCTCCATCCCACCTTTCCCATGCTTCTGCCCCGTTTTTCTTTCCATGTGACCATCCATGCTCCCTCTCCCTCTTCTTCTTAACTCATCTATCTTCCACATTTCTCCTTCACATGACGAAGGAGCCGGTGTTCGGACGGCAAAGAATTTTTATCCACCCTCCTATCTAAACAGCACTTGATCCCTGACTCGTTTGCGGCGACAGATAGAGAGCCATCTAGGGTAAAACATCTCCCTCTCAACCCCTCTCTTCTTTTCTTCTTTCGCTTCCCATCCCCCCACTGTCTCCTCATCTGATCTGTTTATCGGTACAAGGGGTGTAAATTGTGCATCAGAGTACACACATGCTTGACTTACGCAGATGTGTCTTGAAGTTACAGGTTGTATTTTCGTCTCTAAGTGCTCCCATAAATTGCGCTCCGTGATTTTGTTTGATACAAGGCCCGATGAACGACTGCATATCGGCGTCTTTGGGTCTTGTGATGAGAAAAATACCCCTCTTATCCTGACCAGGTCCTAGAGCTTCTTCACTTTACTGATCCTAAATATCGTCTATTAAATGGAAAGTACACAAAATACACATCCAGCAGAGCAACTTGTCCAGAAAATCTATTCATTCATTGTCCTGAGGGTGTGGAAACTGTCTTGATTACATTACTTCACTAAAATGTGGACCACTTGTCTGGAAGTACCCCCTGTTTTTTTCTCTCAAATATGGGAAATCACCATCCAAAATGACATTAATTTTTAAATAGTTTCTTGTTATGTAGCTGTCTGCCAGCCTCCCTCACTGCCATTGTCCCCCTCGTTGTTTACATTGATCCCATGTGATCTGGATGGCTGCATTAGCTTATTTACAACAATCATAATCCGACTGTAAACATGCAGGGCTTTAATGGACTCAATGAGGAAGTTGTGCTCAGTCGGCGGACGGCATCTCATGACCACACAATGGGCCCATACGCACAAACTAAACATTAAGCCATTCACAATAGACCATGTGCCCTTATGAATGACTATAGCGCCTTTTGTCAGGATAAAAGCACCACAAATGAGCTATTGTCTGACTTAACCATTCTAAATCAGGCAAGCCCTCAGGGGCATGTTTTCCACACAGCACCCAAGAATGTCTCCTTTTTGTGTGTGTGCGTGTTTTTTTTTGATGTCCTTGGTGACTGAGGCTTCGGCATGGGGCCCTGCGTGACCATGACACCATCTGTGGTGCGTTCGCTGGCATGAAAACCAGAGTGTACATGCAAACTCAGAAGGTTGAAGGAGTGAGTGAATGTGTACAGTATGCACAAGGAAAGCAGGTATGGTGAATGTGGCAGAAGGAGTATTAGATTTTAAAGCGTTAATCCTTAAGATCAGTCCTGGCTGATTTGACATCACCTGTGCTTGCTAGTAACTGACATGCAACAAAAGAGCGGCTCATATTATCGGCATGCAGCACACGTAAACAAACCATGGATAAAGGGGATTCATTGTGTCACCTTGGGTGGTCTTCATGACCTTGTGTTATCTGACAAAGTAAAAGTGAGAACTGTGTATATGCACTGGATCTCACGCCAACATGTTCTCTTAGTTTTCACCTCTGTTAATGCACAAAGGTGTTGTGGTTAGTCTTCTAACAAGTAGTGTGGAAATTAAACAATAGCAATTTTTGGGTCCAAATCTAATCAAACAGAGAATGAATAAACGCAAGGCAAATAAGCAAAAATTAAAGTAAAGAAAAATGCTGCCCACTGGGTGCAAACACCAGTGTCCTGTGCAAAAGATCCTGTGTTTGTGTTTGGGTTAACATGAAATGATCCTTGTCATTTGGATTTCATGATTAGTAGAAAAACTGACTTTCAATTGGAAACAGAAAACAAACAGCAGGCCCTTGTTGTCATGGCAACACTACTAAACACGTGGTTATGGTTATCCAACAGTGATGGTTAAAAGTAACCGTGGCCACTGGTTTGCCACAGCAACAGCATTCTCCTGCCTTAAGTCCAGTGTTTTGTTGACCCTCCATCCACCCCGGCCTCCACCCCGCACAGACTTAGTGACTCTAACACTACAACTCCTCGCTGCCTCTGTCGCTATCGCAATCGTAGTCACTGCAGCCACTAGGGGGCGGGAGCTGTCACGATGATAGATAACTGTGGGGCGTAATGAGATGCTTGCTATGTTTTGGTTTTTTAAGAGGACAGTCTCCATTATACACTATGTGCACGAATCATTTCCTGTGACTTAGGCATGTGTCTAGATGTGTACTCCAATCCTACACAGGAAAGGCAGGAACACTATTGAGCACTAAAATGTTCATTTTTATTTTTTACTTGCTGTACTTTCTAACATATGTATACACTTAATGTTCATTTCTGAACATTGCTGACCATATAAACTGTAATTTAATATAAAAAAAAGTATATGTGAATGTAAAAAATCGCTGTTTACAAGTAAAAAGGCACAAAAAATAAAAGTACAAATTGTGTAGCATAAAAGTAGACCATATGAATTTAAATTTTATTATATGGTTTAAGTATTACAGTGTTGATGTATAACTGTAAGAAGCATTGTGGTGTTGTAGCTGGCAGAGGTTGAGCTTTATAAACAACTGGGTAGCTTAATGTATAACAATACCTTATATTCATATGTTTTGTATGTAAAATTATAATCTGGAAATAAATGGTAATGATACCTCGCAAATAACTGAAGTGGAGTTAAAACTACCTGCATGTAACATAAAATAAATGAACTTAGTTAAAGTTATTTGCTGATACCTGACAGCTTTAAACTTTACTCTGTACTTACTTGTGAGTCTTTCATAGACAGGTAACACACAACACTCTGACTAAACATGTGCAGATGTCTGTCTCTCTTTCTGTTTGTCTCTCTGCTTCCTGTCTAGTGAAAAATTGAAAAGTTCTCATTGTTTAAGTAAAGTTCACAGTAGGACTCCAATTGAACAAATGGGACTTTATGAATCTTATGAGACCACGTGTCTGTGATGTCTATTATCCTGAGGCTATGAGACACATTGTGAGAAAGAAGACAGCCACAAATAGGACCCCATCTCTGAACAATGCAGACATTCTCATTTGGTCAGCTGAATGGCTGCTGCATTTTTTATTTTTTTTTTGGGGGGGGGGAAGCAGGAGGAAATAGTTCCTTGTTGTCCTGGTAAGAAATCTAACAATTCTTAGGAATGTGTTGTGTGTCTTTCTTCCCACTGTCTCCTCTGTGAAACTGTCCACTTACTCCTGGTGTGTCACAGTTAATTGAAGCCAATCAGGCATCTTTAGAGACACCAGTAGTATTATCTGAACAGGTAATACATGCACATTGTGAGAATTTTGTGAAAGTGACTGTTATCTGTGACTTTTTTTTTGTAGAACCGTCTTGCATGGAGAGGCTCCTCTCCAAGGATTGGAAGGAGCGTGTTGACCGCCTGAACGCCAACGAGCTGCTGGGGGAAGTGAAAGGTAAGAGTCAGACAGAAAACATCCAAATCAAGGTCAGAATCCATGTGCGATTACAACTAAATCTACTTTCTCATTCACATAGTCAGATGTTAAGGTTTAGTGAAGGCAAACAAACCCTGCTCCTGCTTCAGTGTGGCCTTTTGCAATGATTTACACAACAACTCGTACTGTTTGTGGATTGTTGGAGGGAAGGAGAGGGAAAGAAAGGAGGAAAGAGAGAAAGAAAGACAAAAGCTCCCTTTTCTTACACTCTGTACCTTTTTGAAATCTGCAGATCCTCAGCATTTGTGGAACCTCTGCTTTTGTGCTTTGGTTCACCCAAAGATGAACCGTGTTATAAAACGAGCAAATGGTGTGTGTACAAGAAAAAAGACACGGTTTTGCAAAACTAAATTCAAGGGTAAGAAATGGTCAAATAAGCTATAATTCTCTTCTCAGTGTGTATACTTTCAGCATGTTTCTGCATATGAAAGCAACAGAGTAAACGGTCAGCCGGCCTACCTGTCGAGGAGTGAAGGCAGCTTTAAACACTACCGGTTGTAATTGTGTCTTTGATTAAAGGGTGTGTATGAGAGGCGAGGCTGCACATGCTCCAATATTTTTTGTCCGCATCAGCAAATAGCATCTATGAAGCTATAAATTGCACCGAGGGAAATGTCTTCCCGGCCTGCTCTGGTATTCACAAGTGAAAATGGCAGCATTGTGAGGGAATCGTGCGTTCAAATTTCACACAGAAGCAAATGAGATGCATATCAGCATTTGTAATGAATAAAAACATTCATATTTTCCATCTTATTCTTTCATGTCTTGTGATACATTGTACCTGTTTAACATTGGATTATTTAGATATCAAAGACAATAAATACAGTATAAATTCATGATATTGTATTTATTAACAAATATGTATTTTGTTTTTTATGGGAGAAAAAAATGCTGCGTTGATTTTCAATATTAAAAATACGTAGAATTGATTAGTGTTGTTTTTAAAAAAAAAAAAAAACTGATTTACTTTTACAATTATCTTTAAGTTGTCAACCAGTTCATTTCCATTTTGTAATTACTTTATTTTGACTCAATATAGTCTATACATATTTTGAGCTGCTGTTGTCACAGGAGAACTTTGTGTGACATAATATATCACAGCAGCTAATGCATCGAGCAATCTGGTTAGTCCAGTAAATGACAGAAAAAACACAATGTCATTCTGATGTCGCTTCAGTCTTATTGCATAACACTTACTAGAGTGATATATTTGGTAGTTTTTTGTGACAATTACTGGCTAAGTTCACAGCCCAAAACACAGAAGGGCAATTCCTTCAGTTTTTAAATGTTGTCAGTCTCGTCAAAGCCTGTTTAGACTAGCTGAATGAAAGACAATTAATAGATCGTGATGGAAAGCATGTGACTTTGAAAAACTGATGTATTGGCAGAGAGATTTGCTTTTTGTCATGGTGCTGCACTGGATTCTGTTTTGTGCCGTAACATTAGTCGTTAACGTCTGTGCAGTCGAACTGCTCTCAGTGAGAGAAACTGTTTGTGATCGTCTCCTGCTGAAATGGCAAGTATTTCCTCTGTGGAAAGTGGAGAAAAAAAGGGACTATAGAGAGCCTTCTGCAGCAGAACAGCAGACATTGACTTTTACTGTGGGACAGATATCTGAGTCTTTCTTTCAAACTTTAAACGGGGGTCTGAGTTTTCTCTTCAGTCTGATCGAGAGCATAAGGAAACTGCAAAAAAAACAACAACAAACAAACAAAAAAAAACCCAGACAAACAAAAAACAACAGCAAACAACACTGTAAAGGACACTTGCTGTCCTGGGGCAAGCCTCTTCAGGCTGTCCAGATTTAGCCTTTGTCATTCTGTCACACATGTCTTAATATCTTAACATACCACGTCACGTGTGGAGGCAGCTCCATGGAAAATAAATATTGGAGGAAAGGTACTGCCCAAATTACATCTGATTTAACAATAATAAGCAAATATTGTTCATTAATATATAGGGATATGTGTAAAAACTGAATTTCTGAACATGTTGGTAAAGTGTTCACCGACAAGGTATTTTTTTTGTTTTCAGCAAAGATTTTCAACATCCACTTGTCTTGACAGCAGCATTAATAAACTTTATTTGATTAGACACTGGCAGAATTTGCCAAAATTGACTCGAGGCATAACACTTTAATAAACACTTAACAAATCTTTCACTAATCTTAAGAATTTTGTTGTGTAAGCCTGATATAGACGGAGGTCTGAATGAAGGGTCTCTGTAGTGAAACTTGTGACTTAAATGTGCAGTGGCTGAGGGGAACACGATATAGAAATATGTCCTTCCTGGACAAGAAAGCTCTTCAAAATGATGATTTAATGGACAACCATAATAACTTACATTAAAGGTTCACGTTTTACTAGACACTTTCATTCTTTATTTTTATGGTGGTAAACTGCTTCGTGCATCAGTGTTGCAGGTAATTCAATTTAGCTAACTTTAGTTGAAATTACTTTTTCTTTCATTTGTGTACAAGGAAACTTTATGATCTAGGTAATTACATTTTGTCTGCAATTCAGTGGCAGCATGACAACAGCATGCCTATCCTATACATACAGCAAGGTTGGACTGTGAACTATATCGATTTCTTGTGTGTTAGTTGAAGACACCAATAAACATGAATAAATATAGCATGCACAAGTACATGCCTGCACATAAACGATCACTTACACACATGCACACAGATGCCTCTGTTCGTCCAGCTGTGTCCTGTCTAAAGAAACGCTCTGATTGAATTGAAGCGTTTTATTTCTCAATGGTTGAAATGAAGCCCGGTCTGGCTGACCTAAATACACAAAGACAACTGTTGCTCTGTGTCTCCTCACACAACAACCTGAACCTATTTGTTCAGTTGCAGTTATTTTTAGGGTGAAGAAAACTGATGACCTCCTTTTATTCACTGGAACATTCATTACTGTACACTTCAACCTGAAATACATTGTATGTTTATGTCTATTTTATTTAATGCATCCAAGAAAGAATAATAAACAGACATACTTTTTTACCTACACTGTGCCTCCCTGTTGCACATATAGGCATCTGGGACTATGCATGAAATAAGTACATTTACTATTGAGCTCTAGCAGGGAAGATGGTTGACACATTTTAAAAACTCCTCCAATGAAAATCAAGTTTTTTCTAAAATGTTATCATGCTCATTTGGATTTTTTTTATATGCTGGGAAGACACCCTATAAGTGAAAGAAGCAGTAAGTTCCATGGATTCCAGAAATGTAAATGTTTTTGCAGCATGTTTTTTTTTTTTACTATCATTATTTTGTGTTTTTTTTAAAAATTGGGTTTGATATTTAATAAGTGATGGCAGTGATGCAGCTGTAAAACATTTACAATAAACACAAATATACAATTAAATGTTAAAATTATAGAAATAAAAGGCGGACAACAAAGTCATCCTCTACTGTAAATGATCAAACTGTCTGAAACCATTGCACACTGTAACAAAATGGTGCTTGAAGCAAAGAAAAAAAAAACATCTGCACACCTCTCCCCTCTGCAAATTGGGCGTTTACATCAGAAATAAGTATGTGCTTGTTTGAATCTTTTTTTCATCTTCACACCTCTTGTTAAAGGGTTTCAAGCATACTTGTTTTTTTGACATTTGGGCTTTTTTTTTTTTTTTAGAATTTCTGGCATTCACGTTTTGATTTTTTCATGCAAAGTCAGAATGCTCATAGGAACAGATGGATGGAAAGTGCCTGATTATACTGTCAGATGCATGAGCTGGCACATCTGGCAGCAATAATCACATTCACATTCAAGAGTCACTTTAATCAGGCATCTTACTCATTGGAATCTTTTATTTTTATATATACATATGTTGCTGTCTGTCTGGAGAAGTGAGCTGTTTGTCTACAGTGAGTCCGAATGTGTGCAGATCAGATGCGATATCTTTGTACCCTGCTGCCCCGACGAGATCGTGGGCACATGTTTTGACAAAAGGCAGTGACGTGGTTTGTTTTGGGGTCAAGTGTCAGCATGTTTGTTGTGGTGTGACAGTGAGGAGAGGGTTTAGTCATCCAGAGCGCTGCTGGGAGGTTGGTGCAGAGCCGCCATGGTGGTGAAACACGATGGTTTGGCAGAAGCTCAAAGCAGTCGGAGGCATCAATATGTTAGACTGAGGTGTGATACTGTGAGTGGGTGATGGCTTGTGCGCATTTTTATGTGTGGTTTTTGTGTTTGAATGTGTGTGTATTTAAAGGGAAGTGGCTGAGACACAACTTTGTCATACAGTGTGTGACTTTATAGCCAGTAATTCGCTTACTAAATAAATAACAATGAAAAATACACATTTTCATACATTTAAACATCCATCTATCCCTAAGCTTACAAGCAACGGGAGCAAGTTAATGATATATGTATTATTATGTAACTTTAATAATAGTTTTTTAATAAGAGGAGACGTTTAAAACACAACACTACAATTTGATTATATTTTTTGCCTTTTTTACTACATGCTCTGTTGTAGCAATTGTCTTATTTTATTTCTGATAATAACACCTAATACCAAAATGGAAGCTTAATCTGTGCAGAGGAAATATGAGCAGTAACACTCACAAACCTCTCGTGCAGAGTGAAGTGTTGTGGTCCAGAGGCAGATCATCCCCATCATCCAGACAGAATGAGAAAACAGTTAATAGCTCTCTGTTTTGGCTGCTGCCCTCAGCAGGTGTTGGGAATAATCCTGATGGATGGAAAACGGAAACGTCTGAGATGATTATTGGTGCCAGGAGTGTTGAAGGAATGCAAGGCGTAGAGTTTGGAATGCACAACCCGTAATCCACAAAGATGAATCATAGAGCTGTAATCGCAGTTGTTGCGATTACACAATAGGCTTTACTTCACTGCAAGGAATGTAGAGGAATAGGAAGACGTCTGTGTGTGTGTGTGTTTTAAGACATGGCAGGATTATGAAGTATCCATCAGTGTTGCAAGACTGAATTGGCCAAAGAGAGTTAGCGAGTAAGGGAAAAAAAGGGAAAAAAGAAAAGAAGGGTGGAGAAGAATAGTGTAGTGATAACAGCAGAGGGGAAGAGAAAGGAGGCAATGAAGAGAGGAAGAGGGAGGAGATGGGGGAGAGGTCAGGAGAGATGATGAGAAAAGAGAGGAGGAGAAATGGGGAACTGATGAGTGAAAGAAGGATGCAAGATGGGAGTGAGAAAAAGAAAAGATGAAAGAGAAGAAGAAGATGAGATGGAAGGAGACAGAGGGAGAGAAAGAAAAAGAAAAAGAAAAAGGCCAAAAAAGTAAAGAAATAAAGCAAATATAAGTGAGAGGAGAGGAGAGGAGAGGAGAGGAGAGGAGAGGAGAGGAGAGGAGAGACCACAGGGAGAATCTGGACTTGGAAGTGGAGTAACTGATGGGGAGGTCTTCTGGGGAAAACCGAAAAAAAGAAAGAAAGAATGAAAGCAAGAAAAAAAAGGGACAAGAAGAGGAGAATGTTGCCTTTGATACAGGGGTGCTGAGGGGTAATTTCTGTGAGTGTGTGTGTGTGTGTGTGTGTGTGTGTGTGGGAGGGGGGGCAGTCTGGGGTACAATAGGGGCCTGACAGGACTACAATGGAGACTCTGTTAGTATGCAGGTAGTGTTGGGGCCACCCTGCAATCTCCCTACATGGCCCCAGGGCAAGACCTTACACACAGACCGACACAGACACACATGCACATACAGAAGCAAGAACTTCTAAATGAGATAAACTTCAGTGTGGATATGTGCGAGTTTGTGTTCCACACACTTGAGGACACGATAACTCAAGCAAGACAGATGAACTTCCATGTGTGATCGAACCCATTCACATACTTAGTGGACAATCAAGTTGTAAGCCATAAGTGATGTGCACTTGTTTAAGAATCGCACACAAACATGCAACAGCAGTGACAGTAGCTTCGGGATCTGGCAGTGTTGCATTGCCAGTGCTGTAGATGATGTGAATTCCTCGTCTTTTTCCTGAGTTTCCATCATCAGACTGTGTGTTGCTTCTGTAAGGGGAGTTGTTGAAGAGATGAATTGAGTTCTGTGCCTGCTGGTGGCAGTTAACAAATAAACCCCAACCCACTGAAAATAGATTCATGGCAATAGGACAGTTTTCTCACATTCACTGAAAACCAAGTGTGCTGAAATATACACTAAATTGCAATTAAAAGTGTTAAACTTTCCTTGAAATTCATTAGTTTTTCTAAAAAAGCTTGGGCTGTAATTGGCGAGTAATATGGTTAAAATGCAAAACAAGCAAAAACAATCGGACATGGTTCTATTTTCCAGCCACAAACAGCAACACAAGTCACAGTGACTAACCTTTTAAGGACTTTTAACCTTTTAAAACAATACATCTTAAGTCATTCTGCCTCAGCTGCTTTGTTTGCTTTGCTATCACGGACTCCTTCATTGACTGTGTGGCTGCTCACATCCAGCCACAATAGTGCAGGTTTAGAGCTTGGCCACTACAACTTTTCACTTCTTGCTTTTGTCTTGCTAATAGACTCATGCCAACGTGGCTGGCATCAATATTAAGTTAAGCTTGGTTTGTTAGTTTGCCCAAAAAGTAATGCTTATTCACATTCATCACCATGTCACAGGGCTGACTCTCAAAAGTGTTGTTAGTGAAGTTGGTGCAGGATCATCTTCTCGTCATTGCATTAGCAGCTCCTGCTAGTTTGTGGGAGCAGCAAGAGATAGCAGCAACAACAACTTTACTGTGAAAATAAATTTCAAAACAGGCCAATGGCTTGACCTCTGGTATTGCTGCTTTTCAATATTAATGAGATTACAGCTTGCAGTGTTTATAGAACACCACATTTTGTTGGCTTTCTGTCTAGGTTTTTTTTTTTTATTTTTTGCTGTGCTTGTTCAACATGCATCCCTGAGTAGGTTCAACCATTTTTTTGCATCATATCATTGATGTTATTGACGATGCTGTTCTATGGCTGAGTTGTCCCATACCTACAGTACTGCAGTTAAATGTTCTCATAAAATGATTTATAGTCTCTCAACAACTGCTCATCTAAAATTCTTCCTACTAACACTGCACTTCCTTTGCAAACTGATAAGTTTGAAGTTTATCAGATAAACATTATGAAAGACAAAAACCACATGCAAGAACACTCATACATAGAGAGATTGTGTGAATTATTAGAGAGATGAGGAAATGTTTTAAAATAGAAGTTAATAAGACACTGATACTGATCTGACAAGGACTGCAGTAATGAGATGCAGTACACTTCTAAGTGCACAGTTTGGTGATCAAAAACTCTTGTGATCTTTTGACACGACATGCCAAGACTTTTGATAGTAAAATCACATGAGGTTGTTGAAGATTATTTAAGTTTCTCAATTCATCTGTCCGTCCATTATCTATACACCGCTTAATCCTCACTAGGGTTGCAAGGGGGGGGAAGCAGGGCTACACTTGGAGACAGACAACCAAGCACACTCACATTCACACCTACAGACAATTTAGAATCACCAATTAACCTCAGTATGTTTTTGGACCTTGTGGGAGGAAGCTGGAGAACCCGGAGAGAACCCACGCTGCATGGGGAGAACATACAAACTCCACGTAGAAAGATCCCGGTGACCTCAACTGGCGACCTTCTTGCTAACCACCGAGCCACCTTGCAGCCCTTTCTCAAGTCAGCTGGTCTTAAAATAGAATCAGATATTGGCAGAATTGTCTCTGTCTTTTGTGCAATCTGTTCATTTCACCGTAACAAAAGGAATCTCACTGTTGTTGGGCAACAAACCTCCCAAGAATGTCTAAATCATAAACCTGACAAAAGCCTGTAACAGCTACTTATTTTCAAACGGTAACTCAAAGCAATTTTATTGTTGTTGGGTGCAGACACTAAGTGATGACATGTAGAGACAAGACAGAAGATAATAAGTAGTAAGATGTAACTACAAGCTAGATGATTTATGGGAATTTAGGAATGAGACTTTTGTGAAGGGCTTGTGTTGGCCAGACAACTTGTTTTTTGTTTTGAAGGCATTTGTTGGAGGTATGCTTTGGTTGGCAGATTTTGTATAAATAAATGTCCAAGAAATTTCAAGCAAAGGATGGAAACTTTGTTCAGTTATGGCTCTTTTTCAGCAGTAGCACAACAAGTATTATCACAAACTTTCACAAGATGTTTTGTATTGAATTGCTGATTTTATTTTCTGTTATTAATCATCGTAACTAAATGATTTCGTCTTGACTTTCTGCCTGGCCTGGGCAGGACATCCTCTTTTGTTTTAACATCCACTGCCAGTTTTAACTCTTTCTAATTTCGTGTCCAGGTACACCAGAGTCGCTGGAAGAGAAGGAGCGCCAACTTTCCACCATGATCGGTCAGCTGATCAGCCTGAGGGAGCAACTTCTTGCTGCCCACGACGAGCAAAAAAAGATGGCTGCCTCACAGCTGGAGAAGCAGAGACAACAGATGGAGCTGGCCAGGCAGCAGCAGGAGCAGGTAGGGAGGGACTGAGTGTGTGCTGGATGGCGTGCATTGGTGAAGGGTGAGCTGGAAAAGAAAGGAGAAAAAGAGAGTGTAGGTAGTGTATGTGCAGGAGCCAACTCTTTGTGGCCTGGGTGAAAGTATTTTTGATGTGTTTTTGTGTATGATATGAATCACACATGGTTAATACTGGCATGTTTGTGCATGTTTGTGTGTGTGTGTGTACAAGATAAGCAAATCAGTAATGGGAAGTGAACTGACAAAGAAAATAGGAGGGGTGTGTGATTGACAGAGGTGTTTAAGTTGTCAGTTCCTAAAAGTTGAAGGGATTAAGACAACTTAATAGCTCATTATTCATTTCCATTATTCCTTGCAGGTGTTATAACATTTTACTCACCAAATTGATTGCTGACATTTGAGGGTACAATGGCATGACAAAAAATGTGTCCAACAGAGCAAAAAAGCACATTCACTAAAGCTGGATAAATGCAAAAGGGCCACCATACCTTACTCCCTGTTGGCTCCACCTCCGAAACAAGTGGTTTGATCAGTTGTTCCCAAAATTACATTTCTCGTGACTGCAGAGTACAAAGCAACGTCCTGCAAATTGCTGTCTATAAGGTGAAACAAATTCACGTGAGAAGTTTTTTATTGGTTGAACTTTTAGAGAATGAAGTTTACTGACAGTATTCAGCAAGAAAAAAAGATCACGTTTTGAAGAGGCTAATAACAACCCCTGCTGTGTGGGAACACTTTGAATTGAGCAATGACAAGACAAAGGCAAGGTGCCAATTATGCAATGTGAAACTGGCCTACCAGGGTGGCAGAACAAGCCTGAAAACTCACCTGAATGCTGTAAGCTGTAGACTATTGTCTAAAGAGCAGGATCTAGGTGTTCAACTTAACCTCTGTTTTCTGGCCTTTAAACGTTAATATTATGTATAATTACAACACACACTTGCAAACAGTTGTAACTGATGTGAATATTTAAACTAAAACACAAGGAATAATGTGGGAACATCTGAGGCAACTACTGGAATTAAAAAAAAGAAAAAAACACATAGAGTAGCCCAAACTAATGGGTACTTATTGATAAGGTGCATCTGCCATTAACATCCTCTAACACATGCAAAATTATAGTTCAAAATAACAGAAAAGAAACAGGGTATTATTCACATCCTGTCTCTGAGGTACGGCAATCTATAAGACCAAATTTTGCCCCCTCTTGAAGCTGCAAATAATCCCTGCTGATTTGCTGTCCAGAGCCCAAGAGATGGTGCTCAGGACAGTCCTGCGAAAAATACGTCAATGTTTGTATCTGTATGTCTGAGTGTAGCTTCAAAAGTAGTAGATGTGTATCTTCAGGTGTCAGATTGAGGTAAGAAAAAAACATTGTGTGACAGTGAAAGACGAGGAGAGAGTCTCAGCAGAGGGGTGTTTAGGTGAGCCGCTCTTTGTTTTCCCTGTTTGCCGACACGTTACTGTAGGTCGGCATACGACAGGCTCTGTTTGGACAAGTCCACACCTCCCATCACAACGCATTCCACCTTTCACAGCTTTACAAAGGAACAGGCAAGATGGAGAGAGTGAAGAGAAAGACAGATTCCAATATCAGCCAGTCATTTGGCTGTTGAGACTTGATAGGATAATGCCCTACAGACAAACCCTAAGAAATCTGCCTTTAATGAAATATGACATGTGTGCAAATGGGGCGCCGCCTCCCATTCAGCAGCCTGTAATTACATTTCGGAATAAATATACTAAACGACTCCTCAAGAAAAAAGCGAGGCAGCTGCTTTACTTTTCTGGATCAGAATGGGCGGTATCAAATAGATGACGTGCAGCCACTTTAAGGATTTTAACCTCACGCAACTGGCCGATCCCAGCTGCCCGTCACTAGACGAGGCTCAAACCTTTAACTTTTGACTTCAAGTGTTTTTCATTAGAACATCAAAACAACAAAAGGATGGAATGGTCGCCCCTCCTGTGTATATGTGTGAGGGCGTTCCAGGGACATGCTGGGTGTTGTTGGTTGGTGTAGTAAACATGTCAATCTCACAATATTCGGTGTCAGTTAAGAGATTTGTTCATGAACTTGAACCACGCTGCTGATTGCGCGAATTGAATGCACCATCCATCAAACTGAGGCTCTTTAGAGATAATAATCCAAGGTCAAACAGACACACAACTCAGTGCCACTGTACCTCCGTTTCTGATTTACTGTAGTGCATTGGAGACATTTTTGACCTCACTGGCAATTTTCAACAGCACAACTCAGGCTCCAGCTGCCACAGTTCGCCTGCTGCCTTTGGAGGACAGATACGTCCTCATCCTGATATTAAGCACCGGATGACTATCTTGTTTCTCCACTCGTCTGTTTTTCTATTCAGTGGGTCTTGAACATTTTTCCCTTTATTGATGTAGTGTTGTCATAATCTCTTTTTCTTTCTCACTCTCTCACTCAGTGTTAAAACAGACTGGAACTGATTTTTAGTCAGATTTTGTGTCACCATGAATCCAAAACTTGTATAACATGCCATTCACGACATATCAGACCAGGAAAAATGACGAAAAAGCAAACACAGTGCAAGCTAGATTTTTCATAGGTTTTTTTTTTTTTGTAAAAATAACAATAATAGTAAAAAGGTACATAATAAATTGCCAATCTATGCATGCTGTTAACTTTTTATTATTTCAAAATTATGGAGCAGATATCATACGAAAACACACATTTTTTGTTTGATTAATCACCCTTTTCCCTCTGTGCCTTTGTGTGTGTGCAGATTGCCAGACAACAGCAGCAGCTCCTGCAGCAACAGCACAAGATCAACATTCTCCAGCAACAGATCCAGGTTAGTAGGCAGATACACCTTCTCAACTATCCACACACACACACACACACGCACGCACGCACGCACGCACGCACGCACGCACGCACGCACGCACACACCTTCTGTTCATTCTTCACATTTCTGAGCTGACTCCACCTGCCCTCTGCAGACTCCTCTCATTTCTTCCCCAGAGTCCGTTCTTCTGCTTTTTCCATCTCTGCGAGGATGCTGCTGTTAATTTCTCCTCTTTTGTCCTCCTCCTGGACGATCTAATTGTTGACTTTCCTCCAGCTACATTATCAATGTGCCGTGCGTGATTGGAAAATGGCAATAACACAAGAGGTCATGACCTCTACTTTTGTGCTCTGCCTTGGTATTGAGAGGTTCGACAGCCGAGACCTGCAGATACGCACACAATAACACACAGCGGTGACCCAGTAATTGCCCTGGTTATAGCTGGATCATTCACTGTTGCATTGATCACTTGGTAATCGATACCCCAGCATCCCCTGGGCCTCGTACTGTTTTTTTTCTCTCACCGCGGCTGTCTGTGTATCAACATGTGTTTTGCTGTCTTTACTCTATTGTGTATTCCTCTTGTCTTCAACCAAATGATTTATTTTACCTTTACACACACACTTGTACACATATATGGGTAGACTGTACATGCTTGTTATGCACATTTGCTCAGTTTTTAGATTTTGTAAATTGATCCTATTATAATGCACTGAAAATTGAACAATACAAGCTTGATGAGAAAAGTAGACACATATGAACTAACTTACACCTATAGATGGATGCATGTAATTGCTGTTTCATTCACATTTCTTATTTATCTCTGCTTCTGTTTCTTTTGTTTTCCTTTACCACATCCGTCTCTCATTCATACATCTGTTTCATTGAGTCACCTGATGCACTGAAATTCATGATCCGTGTGCTGTATACGCATACATACTCCCCAAGAAATTACCACCAGCTGTGAACCAAATGCTGGTAAATTTGCTCGACGTGGCTGATAGCCATGTGGGAATTTTTGGTTTATTTTTTTAAGTGGTTGAACTGCTGCTAAATTACATCAACTTGTGCGACTGTCTGAATCCACTTGCTGCTGTGTTCGGTTCAGCCTCATCCCATGCCCTGTTTACCCCCCATCGGTCCCGGGCTTTGGATCTCCCTGTGTGCCGGAGGTGTGATGTAGTTAATGAGGACTTTTTTTTTTTTCCCCCTCACTTCTTCTTCTTCTTTTTCTTCTTCTTTTTTTTTCTTTTTCTTTTTCTTTTTTTTTTTTTATTGCGAGGCCCCACCTTGGATCTTAATAAAGCGCAGATCGGACTTCATTAGAGCTCTTAGCCCCAGGGGAGAGCGAGACCATAAAAACCAGCTTCTACTTGGATCCTCTTCCACGCTGTGAAGCATGGATACTGTGTCTTGCTTAGTTTTTAGGATGAAGGGGTTTGCAGAAAACAACTCTTAAGCAATGTATTATCATGTATAGCTTCACGAGCATCTGCTGTAAATTCAGGTAAAACTTAATACTCTCTAACTCTAGTTTCACACTTGTTTTCTATGTTAAATTCATTTAAAATTGGCCAGAATTACTGCAATCTGCTGTTTAGTAAATGCATCGAAATTAAAGGCACAAAAAAGACCAAAACAGAGTATTTGTTTTCCCTGAAAAGTTGCTAAATATTGCATGCACACAGCTGGGTGTGCGGCAACTTCATGTTACTGAAATTATTTTTGAAACAATAGCATTACTTGGCAAACAAACCCAGCTTCGTAAGCAGCATATGGCCTATCTACTGTACAGAGGTTTAGAATTATAATGGCTAAGCTCCAGGGTTTAGTCACTGGGGTACGGGCTGTTTACGCTGTGTCGGATGTGTGTTGGCCTTAAACACACAGGCAGCACTGCACCGGTCTGTTTCCACTTATCAAATCCAGACCTGAGCTCCTCTCAGGCCAATACTCTGAGGAGCTGACCAAATGCTACTGTTTCAGCTGAAAAGAATAGGCCTCAGTGTGGTAAAACCGCTTTTTAGAAGTGCCAGTTGTTGTTCATATCTTAATTTGAAACACCAAATGTTGTCCAGATGGAAAAAATAAGAAACCAAAACAAAGTTTCTCCTAGTAAAGTGAAATACTTGCAACTCCCTGATGTGCAGTTTTCCACGAAGACATACTCTCTGTTGCATTATCATGGGGGGGAAACATAATTAGACTTCTGTGATTGAATAGCATTTAATTTTTACTTTGTCAATAATATATATTTTTATTAAATTTATAGATCAGCACTGAAATGCAACAAACTGTGTGAATACAAATACAGGCCTAGTGAGATCTGTTTTCAGTCCATTTTTCCATTTCTGTATCTTGTCATACCTTGTTTGTCTTGTGTTCCTGGATGGTGTCAGTGTGTTTGTCAGCTAATGTGGTGGTGGGGGGGACATAGTTCAAAGTGACCCAGGTTTCCTGTCATGTGGTTTTAAATGGTGTGGAGAGCCAGCGGGGGATGTCCATGGGTTAAAGCAACGCTTCCGAAGGCCCCATTCTGATAGATATGGTTACCACACATACAGGCACGCACACTTACACAAAAGTGTGATTATAAGTACAAAACAACTGATATTAATAGATAAAATGCACATACATGCATACAAGCTCACACTCATATGTAGTTTAGTTACATAATAGTAAATAATAGTATAGGCATCTGATTTAACTTATAGAGGAGATGGTTGACATCCATACACACATAGAAAAACACACACACACACACACGTGCAAAAACAGCTCACACACACAGTGGCGGCGGCCCTTTGTGTGCCGTAGGCAGAGCGGCCCAGCCCAGCCTGGTGGCTGACAGGCATGTGTCTTTGTTAAGTCAGTTCCTATAATGGCTCTCATATGTGGCCCATTTCCTTCGGGCCCACAAAGGCACAGGCCCTAACCGCACCGCCCGGGCCCTAGCTAACGGGCTAATTAATGACTGCAAAGCCGCACTCCTCCTCCTCCTCCTCCTCCCTCTCTCTGTTCTTCATTTATAACTCTTCTGTCTCCTCCTTCGCCTGCCCTCCTTCTCGTCTTTGAGTTCTTTTTTTCCCCAAGTGTTGCTTTTTTATTGTTTTTACTTTTTATTTTCCTCATGTTATATCCTCTTCCTTGATTTCAGTATGCTGCACACTGTTAAAAGGCCTACCAAGATCCATAATCTAAGCTTTTGACACAGAACAGACAGTTTATAACAACTACATGAGTTTCAAATGTAGTCGCTTTATCTTTCTTTAAATTCCTCATTTCATCACTGTTAAGCTGAATCACAGCCGGAAGCTTTTCGCTTGTCAATAAAGCACTGGTGTTTGGTGAGGTACCAAACAGTCGGGGTACTAAACCTGTCTTAGCACAATCACACACAAACACAATAATCCACACACTCACACACATGCATAAGAACTAATGGAGCAGGCAAATGGCTGTTAGATAGACAGGCAGCTCCTACGTCAGCACATACAGCTTCAGACACAATGACTCGGAAAGCCACGGAAAGCCCATAATGTCGATTGGACCCACCAGCTATGGAAAATGGCTAACTCTTGACTTTAAATTGGCTCTCTATTAACCTGTGTGTTAGTAAGCCTAAAGAAAGATGCTATGCGCAGCATACAGTAATACTGTTTGCTTCAATTAAAATGTGTCGTTATTGTGCTTACACTGGTGCAGCAAGATAGTAAACGAACAAAACTGAGCCATAATTCTTTGTAAATATGTTGTGTTCTTACTGCACGTAGCTAATTCTGACCGCTGGGGGAAGTAAGACATGACAACAGACTGAGGAAATAAAATCTGATATACTTTAGTCTGACACACCGGATATAGACTGCGCGTCTAAATCTGCCATTGGTTGCTCATTTCATGTGGTTTTCTCTTCTTCTTCTGCTTCGTGCGTGTTTTCGTTTCAAAATTCCCCTTGTTACAGGAAAGAACAACAACAGCCTCCAAGTAACAACCTGCTGAAGATTTAGATTGTGAAATAGTGAAGGCCTGCTTGATTCTTTTGGTGAAGAGTTGTTAAGATCTACAAAGCTTGTTTGCAACATTTGCTTAAAGGTTGTTGCATTTGGAGAGAAAATAATATTTATTTATCTATGAAGAAACAAACTAATTACAGGTTGAAGATATAAAGTTGTCAGTGACAAGAAACCCTCACATTTGCAAGGAGTACTGGAGTTGGTGTCTTCTCATTTCCCTAGATGTTGGTTAAATTACGACAACCATGGTATTACATCTCTAGACATCTCTTTGTTTTCCAGGCAAAAACATGAATGGAAAAATTCTGTATCAATAACATTCATCTTTTATATCTTCAAATCTGGTTTTACTGCAGTTATAGGACCAAAACAATTTGTGAACAACCTCAGAAAATCGCAGACTCTGTCTTGCAGGACTCTGATGCCTGACACTGAACCATTTTCTGATCCGGCCATTGTCGAGTTGATTTGACACATCCTTTTACTTTGGAAGCAGCATGTGCCGTTGACATTGACATTGACTTGACCAATGCATGGCCACAGTTAGGCCCTTGAGCAAGACCCTTAACCCCATCTGAACAAGAAAAATTCAAGATTACACTTTATACACAGGCTGCAAGCTTCACAGCTCTCAGTTGTGTTACTTGTCTTATTCTGAGGAAGCATTTGACTGAAGCATATCAAATATCATCATGTCGTTCAATGGAGTATTAATAAACTGCATATTTTGGTCCATGTGTTGGACAGTGATGCAAAGATATTTACTGCTGTAAATATTATCATTATTAATGCAGTATTATTACTATGAAAGTCACATCAGATTGGAACCCTACACTGTAGTTCTTGTTCTTCTACCCCTTACCGTCTAACAAGGAAACCTATGTGATGTAAAGTTCAGGTGACAGCAGCAATGGAATTAAAGTTCCTGTGATGATGTGGCGAACTAATTAGACTATAGAAAATTTTGTCAACATTTTGAAGGTTTTGTGCTAAGTCATCCTCACTGTTGCCTCCAAAGATTACCTATCCATCATAAAGTATAGTTGGCACCATACCTGTTTTTGTCCTTGGAACTTTACATTTCTTTTTCCAATTTTTTGTACTAAAATCAAAGAGCAAGTCAGCACACTGATGCATACCTGCCAACTGCACAACCAGACGACTACATTTCTTCCTTTCTCTTCTCAAACACATCAATATACAGACGCACTGCATACGTACTCATTGCCCCCTAACCCTGCTGCCCTTATACAAGAGCACCATTAATTCTGAATGTGTGTCTACGCGTGTACACATGTTCCTTGTTGACTAGGTGTGTATGTCGATGTGTCTGGTGGGCAGTTAGAGGAAGGGGACCTTGTGTTTTCTTAGGGGCTGTGCAGAGGGGGCCCCTGCAGCACCACCTTCCCCAGTCCATTCATCCAGCGTCCCCCCCCCACCCCCCTCCCTTCAGTAAAAGGAGATCTTTGTGTGTTTGTGTGAGTGAAGCAGCCCCAGTCAGTCCCAGTGTTCCCAGAGGAATACAATGAATGGGAGCATTTTGTCCCACTCTATAACCTCCCCCCCCCCACTTCTCTCTTCTTCTTCTCTCTCTTTTTTTTTGTTTTTTCTTTTTTTCTTAACCATTCGGACACACAGACTCGTTTTTCTTCTCTCTTCATTCTCTTTTCTCTGTGTCACAAGACGTCGGACCTCTTCTCCATGTGTGCGTGTATGGGAATGCCTCAGAACTTCTAGTGTGTGTTTGCGTGTGTGCGTGCGTGCGTGCGATGAGTGCCTCCCAAGATATCTGGCTTTTAAGGAGTGTGACCTAAACAACATTGTCTGAGGAGCCGGTCAGGTGATGAACACATGTACCTCCACGCCTACCGAACAAAGCAGAGGCTGGATAATACAGATGTCTGATGCCCTGATGTGGCAGAGATGTGCACGTACACACACAACCTAATTTTAACCTCGACCCAGCTGTTAAAATGAAGACCAACCAAAATATGTCCTGACTCTTTTAAGGTCGATAACTGTGAGGTTTTTGAAAGCTAGAAGTACAAGACAAGACCACACATGCATACACACCTCTTTTCTTTTAAGGACTTTCTGTTGACTGCATTCATTTTTTAAAACAATAATAATAATGATTAGATTTAATAAAATATGTCCCCTCCAAAGAAGTTAACAGCGAATGCGTTCTGACAAGGACAGAACATTAATATAGGACCAGTCTTCTTAACATTTTATGCCAGTTAATTGTTGTACATATGCAGCGTATCACTTTATGATGCTTTATGCTTGAAAAAAGTGAGCAGAGTGAAGTGCATGTATAGCTGACTTTTTAAAACATTTAACAATATTTAAATATGGTGTGACAGCATAATTTTCTGGAAATTGTGACACATTGGGGCTGTAATTATTTTCATGTTTAGTCATTGTGTTATTTTTGATTAGCTGATAAAAGTCCCCAGAGGCTGTAGTGACATTTTAAAAATCACTAGAAGAAAATATATTTAATTAGCAATGATTTAAAACAGTGAAAACCATCGAATTCTTACATTTGCTTCAGCCAGCAAATGCTATATGCTATGCCTGATCAACTGATTCTCAAACCCATTCTCCATTTATTTTCTGAGGATCTTTCTATTGATTGATTAATAATTTCAACCATTCTGCAAACACAAGCAAGTCAAGGATGGTCCTCTTCATCCCCGTCTCTCTCTCTCTCTCTCTCTCTCTCTCTCTCTGTATTTAGTCATGCTCTTTGAACCTCCCCACCACAAACTCTTCAAACCCTCCCTCACACACACTATAAACATCCCAGAGGACGTCATCTTATTCAACTAATTCAGCAACGTAACCCTGATGTACAAACGCAGAGAAATACTGTAATCACACAACATGCTGATTGCGTAAGTTTGAGCTGGAATGATGAACTGTCCCAGGAGGTCATCAGGGGAAGGGAGTGGTTAATGAATTGGTAGTAAAGGAGATGTATGGAGGTAGATGGCATTGAACAGAGGAGGGAAATGGAAGGAGGCATTTATTGCAAAGAGAAACACACAAAAGCAGAGAGAGAGACTGAGAAAAGTGTAAAAAAAAAAGGTCAAAGAGAGGGTGTGAAATTACCTAAAGGGTTAAAGGAGACAGAAACAAAAACACAAAAAGCTCAAAGATAGAAAGAAGTTTTTAAAAAAAGATCATCCTTAACAATAACTTGTCACCAAAAATAAATGAATAAAATGGGAAGTACAAAGGAAATATGAGAGGAAGAAGCACGATAAACATTCATAAGTAAGGACAGAAGAGGAGGAAGAAACTACCAAACACAGGAGTACGAGAAAGACAAGAAAAACTGGAGGCAAATCAAAATAAAGCCGAATGAGGAAAAAATGGAAGCAATGGTTGCAGTTTTTATTAGTATTAAAAACATTTTTTTTATAAAAACGTTAATGTCAAAGGTTCTGTTAATAATGAAATTAAGATACACTCTGATAGAACCCACATGAGAGAACCAGTAGCAGAAGACATCCCACAAATCCACTTTTGAAAGCTCCTGAAATATAAAGAACTACTTAAAAGCCCTGTTGTAATGTGTCAATGCCATGGGCTAGGTTTAGCCACAATATTTACTTGGTTAGATTTGAGAACCTTTGAAATCAGCAGAAGCCTCAGGTATTGAAGTCTAGTGTTTTGTCGACCCATCCATCCGCTCCCACCTCCTCATATGTGGACTTTCTGGCTCTATAATAAAATCACCTAACTTTCTCCTTTGCTCTCATTTAGGGTGCTGTCACTTGATGTCTTATATGACCACTGGGCAATAAAATACAACAATAAAATGTAATAAAACATTGCAATAAGTTGCTTACACAAACAACCTGTATGTGTATGTTTTTAAGAAAGGACTGTCTTAACTAATTTTAACACGCATGTTTTAAACAAAATCTCCCCAAAATGTGTTCTTTTTTACCTACAAGAGATGAAAAGATAACACAATTAATAGAGGCTTAAAAAATGTCTAAATATTGATCAACCTGTCTTTATTCATGTAGATGTTTACAATATATATGCTCTTTAACCCAAAGAACTGAACATCTCCCAATTTGCATTTCATTACTTTAAAGCATTGCTTTCAACATGTTTGAAAATGTGCAAAATCTCCTCACCTTCACAAGTTAGAAAACTGGAAAAAGAAGCAAAGAAAGCAAGTAGACAAAAAACAAGAAAAGCAGGCATGGAGGGGAAAGAGACAAACAATTTTACAAGACAGAAAGGCACTAATGAAAAGAGAGAAAAGGGTAAGATAAAGGGAGAGATGGAAGGGAAGAGAGTGCAGTCTGCTAGTTTAGCGCAGACAGCCCTAATAGATTCCCGCAGGGTCATCTTTGATATGCTCTCTTCAGTTTGAGCCCTCAGCGTCTTAACTCAGTCAAACCCACAGTTTTAAGTCTTTCAAGACCACATGAAAGGCAGCTCTCTGTTGTTTTAAAGGCATTTTGTTTTACATTTTTACACTTGTCTTTCTGGAATGTATGTCTTCATTTGTTGTTTGGTTTCTGCTCTTAAACTCTGCAAACTTGTTGATCATTTATTTTTCTTGTCTTTTTTACAAGTTACCATTTTACTAATTGTTATGTTAGATTTTAGTCAGCAGAATCTGACAGAGTAATGTCTCATGTTGTTTTATTTATTGTATATATTCTTTCCATCCCTTTACTCTCCATTTTTGTTTGTCTCTGTCCCTCATCCTTTCTTTCTTCTTGATTGAATTAGATCTTTTTCTTATCTTTCTCTGTTTGCATTTTTTTCTTTTCATTCATTCTTTATTTTGAAATCCTTTTCTTACTTTTTTCTATTTATGTTCCCTTTTTTTTCTGTTTTCATCTTCTTTCTATAAAGTCTCTGATCTCTGTGGTTGCTGGTGTTTCTGTACTGTGTATGTCTTTGACTATGTTCTGCATACATGTAGCATTTGTAGAAACAGGAGTGGCTGCATTATCACCAAGGTGTTTTTAGTTCCCTTGACACATTTCTCTCTCCTCTTTCTGTTTCCTCTTCCTCTGTCTCTCCCAGGTCCAGGGTCATATGCCTCCCCTGATGATCCCAGTATTTCCCCATGACCAGCGGTCTCTGGCTGCTGCTGCTGCTGCACAGCAAGGCTTCCTCTTCCCACCAGGCATGTCCTACAAGCCAGGTACAGTGTACACACACTCTGTCTCGCACACAAATACAAACACTGGGATACCAGTGTATGTTAATGAGGTGTGTCAGGTGAGGAATGTTCTGGAAATGAGCGAGGAGATTTACAAGCCCTGCTTGTTCACTTCAGGATCAATACATTTGACACAGTGAAGACTGGAATGTCTCTTTCATGGCATGCTGAAAGCATGTCAGTTGCACACCACAGTTGCACACCACATCTGCAACATGGAATGTCACACTTTCTCACACACACACACACACACACACGCAGACACACACACGCAAACACACGCACACAACTACATGCATACACACAGGCACTCAAACATTTTCTCCTGGTATACACTGACACAACAATATACACACGAGGATGATTCAGACAGACGAACCACGTGCATTCCCAAAAATGTACTTAAAAGAAGGCATGCATGTTTCAGCAATCCACAAGGATTTTGCACAAACAGGCTCCACAAACCTCTTGAAGCCACACCTACAGACAAAAACACACAATACACAGGCTTCTTATTGCAGGATTCTCTGCACCACCTGCTTTCTTCACGTCTCTTCGTCCTTCACACATTCCTCTCTTCCATACATTCCTCCAGGTGCTCGCCTGACACAGTGCAGCACCAACCCTCCATACTTCATACAGAATAATCCATGTTTATTCCTACTGCATGAGCATGCACTCCCACAAGGCAGCAAAGAGAAGGAGAAATGAAGAAAGGGATTAAAAAGCCATTATTGTTCGCTCTCCTTTGACTTTGGTCTGTTTTCAACAAAGGCTCGGACATGGAAAGCCTTTTAAGGAGAAACAGTAGGGGTTATACACGGTACTCGTATATGAATTTATGAGTGCATCCCAATGAGTGAGCTCTGGACTTGAACTCTGCTCACCCTGATCTCAAGCACCCGTGTGTACCGCCAGTGAGTGTTATTAACCTTTGAATAAAACGTTCGTGACCCTTCATGTTTCATTTGGCATGAATAAAAACATGAGAGGAACAAGGAAGGAGACAAAGAGCGAGATAGAGAAAAAGAGACAGAGAGGCCGACTGAAGGTAAAGAGCAGGTTAGTTCTTGTGTAGTCTCGCATTGCCAGACCAATCTCCTCACAGGAGAGAATGGACTGGCTGGACCTCATTATCATTCTGCTGTAGGGGGTAAAAAACACTGTTGCACAATTGTCTTGGCCTGCTGAGCCCAGAATGCAATGATGGTGCCCCTGCAAAATAATGATATTAGAACTGTTTTGGTCATTTGAATAGGTAATACATCGTAAACGCAGAGTAGGCCTGACTCATCTAAATCTATTTTAAAACTTGACATTGTCAGCGTGTACGTTTGCTGCTCAGAGGTTGGTGTTGTTGTTTCCAGTAGCTAAGGGGAATTTGAAAGTGGTAACATACAGACACCTAGAGTGGAAAGGGAGGGGAGAGCTCTGTGAAACTTCCCAAAATCTACATCCCATGAATTGTGCTGGTTTTTGTATTCTATCCACACCTCACTCTAAAATATGTGTTGTCTTGGTTGTTTAACAGGTGAAAATTACCCGATGCAGTTCATTCCATCTACAATGGCAGCTGCAGCAGCATCAGGACTCAGCCCATTACAACTACAGGTAAGATTTAAACACTTCGAAATTCCATCCACAATCCAAAATTTGCATTGTTAGATACAACTTGATATAAATAAAAAAAAATAATTTTTTTTTTTTTCTGGATTAACTACCTTTGAAATGAACCTGCACAAAAAGGGTTAGAACATTTTTTCTACTGCAAAAGCATCACATGTTGGTTCAAGACCAGAACCAGACTGTTTGACAAGGAAGTGCTGAAAAGTAAGGGTGTGGAAGTTTTCGGGTGTGTGTCTATTTGTGTGTGAGATATGCTTTAGTTTCACCAGGATTCAATTCTTAACTCATAAAAAATAGTCCTTTTCATATTTAAAAATGACTAAAATTACAACGTTTTGTCTGAGGCATAACTCCCACCTTAAGCAAAACTGTTTTCCTTGCTTTAATTCAACCTAATGGATATGTTATGTTCAACTTTAGTTTTTTTTTTTTTTTTTCTTTCACACTGTTGTGACTCAGTTTAGCGTGACTATATCAGTGAACGGTTAGTTTGTACACTGAGAGAGTACATGTGGCTGTAATCCTGATGGTGTAGCCTGCAGGTCAGAACCAAAGACACTTAACAGTTAGCTACACCTGCTTTATCTTGCAGAGGGTCATTTAGGGCTGCAGCCTATCACAGCTGACATTGGGAGAGTTGGTACACCCTGGACGTTTCACCAGTGCCAATACAAAAAGAGAGACAACTCAGCACACTCACATTCATATCTACGGCCACTTTAGAAATTCACAAATTAGCATGTTATTCATGTCTTTGGACTGTGGATGGAAGCTGGTGTACCTGGTGAAAACCCACGCAGGCACAGAGAGAAAAAACTCCACAAAGAACGGCTGACCAGGCAGCAGGTTGGAACAATGCTGAGAGGCGACGGTGCTGAACAATTCACCGCCCTTGTACAGAAGTGAGCAGATAATTAAAAAAGGAGACAAGATAAGGAACATTGGCAGACCAAAGGAAACTTCGGCTACTTCTAACCTTCCCCTGAGTTCAAGTGAGAGGCAACAACTGCAATAAAAAAGAACTTGGTCGTTTGCATGTAAAATGATAACTGTCGATGACTTCACTGTTAAAGAAAAAGTTAGTTCTACAGGCACAAGGTCAAACTTCTACAAAAAATAAAATAAAAAAGTAAAAGCGTTCAATTTCTACAATTACAGGTGACCTCTGAAAGGTGGAGGTGCAGGTCTTGGCTGCAAAAATATCACTAAAATTAAAAATAAAGTCCCCACTATGATGGTTATTTCCCATAATGCCATTATCCTGGTTTTATTTCTTTATTCAACTAACCAATATCTTCAGTTGCTCTATTTTTGACTATACAATGTGTTCATTACTACTTCAAAAACATCCATAAGGGCAAGATAATATGATTTAAAGGAGTGGGGGACACAAATGGAAGCTGGAGTAGGCCCAGCATGCATTAATCAGCTCAGATCACAGGCTTTCTTCTTACTTCTTCAGAATTTTAATGGAGTTACTGTAACACTTTCCAACCAAACAACATGACGCATTGGTTAAAGATCAAGCTCGATAGGTCAATGCTAACATGCTAGCCCGCTTATCTACTGCCTGTCAGCTGTGTCAGACAAAAGCTGTTATGATGAATCACAGAGGAATTCCGCCCCACCAGCACAACACCTGGCCCAGGCAATTCATCAAGTGTTTTATTGCTGCTTGACACCTGTGGTTTGAGAATAGCACTTACGCATAATGGTTATCATAGAACATATTTGCAAAGAAAAAAAAAAGTGTAATAGAAAAGAAGAAAAGGAAAATGAAATCTGTACTCCCTAAAGACAGTTTGGAATTTCACAACACAACCCCAACCCCCTTCCTGCTGTACCTACTATCAGCTGAAAGAACAAAAGCTCTCAAAAGCTTTTTCACTGGCAAACAATATTGCTTCATCATGTCAGTCATTACCATAGCATGGCTTTTGGATGTTACAAGAATCCTTATCTCAGTTTATTCAATTTGTATTGTGGTTTTCTCTTATCGAGGCCCTCATTAGCCGCTATTGACTTAGCAAAGCGCCGTGCTGTGCTGAGGGGATTGGAGCCTCCTGGCTCCACTCCTGGCTTTGAAATGATCAAAAGAGCTGTACGGTGAGTGAGAGGTAAGAGGATGAATGATGTCAGAGACGCAAACTCATTCACATTTAAACACTGCCTGAGACGTGGAGAATGAGAGGCAGAGACGAACCTGAATGAAAGAGGAAGTTTCTCATCAAGGCACCGGCTGAAATCGAGCAGGAGACTGGCAGTAAGAGGAAGACAGAGAGCGTGGGGAAGTGTTTAACGATAGAAAAAGGGAGGATTTTTTGTAGGAAATTTTGTGAGATGGAGGCGCTGGCTTCCAGCACATGTTTGGACATTGTTTTGACAATAATGCCTACGCCAAAAGCAATCATGATGAAATTTATGAGTTGAACTGATTTAGTTATTTATCAGCATCGCAAAAAATGTGCCTGTAGCCCCGTTTGTACCATGGTGCAGTAGTGCTTGCAGCATTTCTGCTAATAAATAGTGTAAAATGTAGATGGGATGCACACAATAAAAACACCTGTGTGTATTGTGGTGATAGTTGTTGTTACACAGCGTGGATGTGTTTGCAGCTAACGTGCACTGGATACATAGGCTGCATCTTTCTGGAGTACCTTTGTTGCATGTGTGAGCTGCTTGCTTGTCAGAGGGAGAACTTCAGTTTTGCTCAGGACACAAAATGAGCTATTTATTCATACTTTTCATAACTGGAAAACTTTTCTCTTGAGGTATATGTGGTTGATTGATCCCCATACAGTGACAACACAATGTGATCCATCAGTGACAGCTGAGTTGAGTCTGACAGATTCTGATGTATCTCGTCTCATGATCAATTTAGTTCCTCACAGCTGTCTAGACAATAGCATAACTTATTAAATACACAGCCCTCACTGTTGATGCATTGTAGCACCTTTGCTTGTTTACTTGCTTACTTGCATTTCTGATGCCAGCAGAAGTTTTTTTTTTCTTTTTCTTTTCAGGTTAGCACAGAATTTAGATGGGATGGACTAAATAACAATACCTCAGTGTCGTGATGTTCATTTTTGTTTGTACACCAGGTCAGTGTGTTTGCAGGGCACATGCATTACATAGGTAGGTCGTTTTGGAGTGCTAAGGCATTCCACCTTAGCCATAAACTATTGTCCTGAAAACCCCGAAATAACACAATTCTGATCTAACAGCTTTACAACAAAAAGATTAAGCGCAGCAGAGATGCTTTTTTTTCTGAAGCCGTTTTGTCTTTCACTTGTCTTTTACATTCAACTACAATTTTCAGTTTTATTTGCATGACCACAGTGACCTTGTATTCAGTTCTAAGTGCTCCCAAAACTTGACTGACAAACACTTAATTCTGTTTCTGAATATATCTGTTGTAGACACAGCAGGAGAACAATGTCCTGCTAATGCGCTGCTCACCCTGCATCTCTTGTGTAGACACTGTGTGAGTCCAAATGCAGTGCTGTAGTGTATCAAGAACCATTTTCCTTATACAATACTGGGAGAGGTAAACATATGGTTTATGTATTTGCATATATTAATGAGATAATCTTTATTTGTAATCAGTAGAATGTGATTGTCCTTTGCTGCTTTAGTACCTTTCAGTGAGTCAGTTGGTTGGGATTTAAACAAAGCTCTTCTGTCACAGAAATGTCTTGACACGGTGCACAAACTGAGATCTTGTCTGTTAAAGTATTTTTAAGTTTTTAGTCTCAGTTACACTTAAGTGCACAATGGCCTTAATTCCAGTGTGTGAAAATGTACAGTAGCTGATTCCAAAAGCATTGTAAATAGACAATTATACCATGTTAGTTCTACGTGAGCAATCTCCTCTGCTACATACTGCAGTCAAGTACACACCAGCTGGCATCAAACCTTTTCTAATGCCAGATCTACGCTCAGTGCAGGATGGACAGATGTTGTAGCCAGGCTGCTCCAGATGTTTTAAAGTTGAGCCCTGTAGCTGTCTTTTAGACAGCTGGCTGGCACCAAAGGTCATAAACTGGCATCCAGAATAAGAAGATTCATTGACTGTGAAAATGAACCTGAAGCTACACAACGTTTAGCATTTCTCTGTATCACTGGAAGTGACAGTAAATGTTCAGTTTTACCCCTTAATTCTATGAAGTGCTACGGCTTCATCAAAACCAAATCTGATCAAAAAGAGCATAATAGAAATATCTGGCACAAGCTTGCGATGTCATGCTCGGCTTATCGTGACCTGACCTAATAATTTTGATAGCACAAATGTTGTGCTATCAGCGTGGGAACTTGATCTCACCAATTGTTTCCAGAGCCTCGGTGTAGACCCCCTCGCAAACAGTGGATTTCTGTGAAAGAAAGGCCCTCTTTGTGCACAGCTAATGCAAGGGAAATACAGTTGCTAAGCAGACATTCTTGTTGAAATCACAAGTCATCTTTTACTGTCTGTCTCTAAGTTCAGCCTGTTTCTGTTTCAGTATCTGAGGCAGGGAGACAAAGGTGATGAACAAACTTTTGTGGCCCAGACTTGTGATTTCTGCCACTCTGACAACATATGAGACGTGAATGATTTTCTGTATTGTACAGTGAGAACAATGTTTGATGTTGACTTAAAGAAACTGAGCATCTGTTGCATAAAAGAGAACTTGAGGTGAGATAATGGTTGTCTTTATGCAGCCTGTCTCTCTGCGTATCTCTCTCACTGTCTTGGATACAGCTAACCCTCCCAGTGCAATATTTAGCCTCTGTCCTCCGTGTGGGCCAGCTCAGTGACAGTCGATCCATTTCACCCTCCTCCTCCCCCCTTCTTCCTCCCCCCGGAAACCTGCTGAAAAAGACAAAACCTCATTTGTTTTGTGTACTCCTGAGATCGATAGCAGTTCGACACTAAAAGAGGCCGTCTAAAGGGATTCTCCACTCAGCCCTAATGGGACGGAGTGGTCTGAGCGTGGAGGAGGCTGTTAGCAGACTACAATACAGTACAGCTCAGATAGACATCACCTTCTGTCTGCTTTCTTAAGGATTACACCAAAGTAGGCCAAAAAAAAAACAAAAAAAAACCTGCTGATGATCAGGAGGGCAAAAATGACAGACTAATCATTTGGATTTTAGTCAAATTAGCACTAACATCCAAAAGGCTAGTCAGATTGTCTGGACAGCTGAGGCGCAGTTTGAGGCCCTCTTTGTCAATTTGTAATTTAGGAAATTGCATTGTCTTCCCTTGGGGTTTGACTGAATGGCAAGAGCTCCAGTTGGGGTTGTTTACGCTGCACATTGGCCTCCCCAACAATCAATCTTTGAGTGTCTCGAAGAAACAGAGAAAGAATAAAGTAAAAGCTCTTATTGTCAATCTGGTGTTTGTTTAACAGTTACCTCTTCTTATTGTAACAGTTGACAGGATTGCTGCTAACGGCACAATTGCCAGTGATGTGTTTGCAGAAAAGTCCCTGAGTGTGTGCGTTTGCCAAGGCGCGCTGCGAGATCCTAGCCGTGTGTTTTACCTCAAAGACTCGTGTGTCTGCCCCAACCCTCCGCTCCCCTCAGAGCTGTAAGAATATCAGGCATCACCAGGAGTAACTCTGCGGTTGGCTTGATTGACGCGAGAGGCCTCACCACCAGCCATTCAAGGCACATTCTTACAGGGGTCTCATATCGCCAGGGGTTGGCCCGAGCGCTCCTGGTACCTTCCAAGGAAAATAAGCGGCGTGACATCAGGGCTTTGTTTCAACGGCGAGGCCCCTTCTGTTTGTGTTTAATATCGCTCTGAGAGAAGTGGAAAGAGGGCCAGCCAATTTCTTTGGCCCCGACTGCTGAGCCTGGCGCTTTGCTGGTGAAGCGACGGTGGTCTCGTGTGTCTGCAGTGCAAAACTCTCTATCCCTCTCTCATTCTCTTTCTCCATGGCACTTTCTTTGCTTTTGGATCTCTGGTCCCAGGAGGCCTTACAGTTTTGACTACAGGGAAATCAGATCTCACAACACTGGGGGCCATTTAGGCTGAGGGGGCAGGGAGGAAAAACAGAGCAAGAAAGAAACAGAGATGGAGATGGAGGAGTAGATACGAGGGATAATTTCTGGAACAAGACTAAGAGACAGAAGGCAACTGGAGAGAGTCAAAGGGAGATCAAAAGAGAGGAGGACAAAATAAAGACAGAGATGTCGAAGGAGGGGGAGAGTATAGATGAGGTGAGAGAATAACGAAAAATGAGAGGAAAGGGGGGAAAGCAGTAAAGAAAGAGAGGAGGGAATCTACTGAAGGCCAGCCACGTCTGGGTGGTTTTCCTGAGGACAGGCTCTTTGATACTCCAGCACTCACACTCCAATGCATTTAGACAGGGGTTGACAGTGGTTTCAGGCAGCGGTTTGTCTGGCCAGCTAGCTTTGATTTAGAAGACCCTGGACTGTGGGCCGAGTATTTGACTCTTTGATTTTCGTTAAGTACCTTGGATGGAAAGTCGGTACCGTTTTTTTTCTGTCATTTAATGTTTTCGTCCAACCCTTGTACTTTTATACTTTCCCAGCTTTTTTCTTCTATTATTTCTGTGTTATTTTCAAGTGGTTTCCAATTGGATCCCATGCTGAAGATGTAATTGCAGCATGACTACACCTACTTATACATGATTGCCCACAATTGTCTCTCTTTTGGATTAAATTTAGTGAAGAAATTCAATTGTCTGAACCATTAATACAACGACTAACTATATGTGACAAGATTAGTCTCCAGTCTTTTTTAAGACTCATAAAACTATGTTTATTATCCTCATTTAATTTTTGTTTATTTGACCCTCACCATTTAAATTATAACTCTGCTGAAGGTTAAATATTTGGGATAACAAAAACAGCCATGTGGCTTGATTCCACTTCCCATTGTTTTTTATTATAAGCAATACTGAGCCAAGCATTGTCTGAAAAGCTTATTTCCTTACTTCTACGTTAATGTTTTTTGCAGACACAAGTAACAGATATCCAGTTTTGTTAATTAGGATTAAAGGGAAGCAATCAAAAGTTTCTTTTGCTATTGTCTGGATTTATTTTCTAGATGCTAATCGATGTACAGGCTGCTCCCAGCATCTGTTCAAAAAATAACTGTCAGAGATGGATAGTAGATAATCTAACATAAAAATGTTTTGCTGGAACGCCTCCCTGATAAATACTACCTTAAACAAATCTTCCATTTGTGTGGGATGCTCCTGTCAACCTTACATGTAGGTGTGTGTGTACACGCACATCTGTTTCCATATTAGCTCTTTGTGTCTTTGGCTCAGACACACACCCACCAAACCTCAGAAGATGCTGGGAGTACCAGGGAGAGGATACAGCGAAAAAAAAAAAAAAAAGACTCAACAGGATCAAGGGTGTGTGTGTGTGTAAAGAAGAAGAGAGGAGAGAGAATGAAAGAGGAAAGCCACTGACTAGCTGCTGGCGAGCGATGTTAATAGCCTGTCGGTTTTGCTGGTTTCTTCCCTTTTTGCAGCAGCTGTATGCCGCCCAGCTGGCAAGCATGCAGATCTCACCGGGAGCCAAGATGGCTCCCCTCCCACAGGCTCCCAACTCCTCCGGTCCCCTTTCCCCATCCACCCTCAAGAGCGAGAAGCGAGCATCCAGTCCTGTTGCTCAGATTAAGGTAGGTACTTTGTTACAAATGTTGTCAAATGATTCAACAAGACATGTATAAGCCAGGTGGACACAGGAGAGAGAGACACAGGAGAGATTGATAATGTTCCTGTAAGAACATGAGTTGACATACCAACGAGCAGAAGACAAAAATAACAGCACCATGCAGAGAATTTAACTATGTTCAAATAACAAGGAACTTTCTATGTAAGCAACATGTAAAAGGAAAAACAGTGTCTCGGGGTGTATAAAGTAACAGACAATATAATCAGACAAAGGAAAGTGTGAGTTCAGAATATGTGCAACAGAAAAACACACAAGCATAATAATAATCAGATGATCAGTGCAAGTAAAAGTAAGAGGCTGGAAATTTGGAAGCTGTTGAAACAACAATCTACGCATGGCCCTGTGCACTTCACTGTCAATTAGAAACAGCTTATTTAAAAGTCATACACTGATACACACAGAGGAACACGTACACACTCACAAACTGACACTGGCGCTGGCTGCTGTTTGGCATGAGCCCAGACCCCTTCACTGGAGAGAGCTCACGCCTCATCTTTACTCAACGACGAGGGAGTAATGCAAGCCATGTGTGTGTGTGGGGCACAGCTGCAACCGGCATCACAATAGACTGGCGTCAGAGCTCACCGCACTCAAACAGTAGTGCCGTGCCCCCCAAAGTCCCCACCCTCCACTAACCCCCCACACATATCAAACCCACCCCCAACTTTGGCATGCCACCCGCAGTCTAAGCCCCCCTCCCCACGCTGAAAACCGTCCTGAACTCCTTCCTCTCTCATCCTCAGCTGAAGCTCAGCTCCAAATTACATCCACGTTCATTAAGTGTTTGCTACCAACACAAGAGCCACAGTCAGACTGTGTTGACATGCGGGAGTTTACTTTCTGTCACCGCTTTTTCTTTCCCAAGGATTCCTCATGTGGGTCAGCGTGGTCATGAACGTTTGATCACAAGAAGAAGAATCACACAAACAAATGTGCCATTGTTTAGATAAGAGGGTGCTCTGCAACTTTTCTCCAGTCAGGTTCACAGAGGTTATCAGTGGAATTCATTTACTGAAGGGCAAAAACCTGATAGTGCTGACTGATCAGTCAGCAGGAGCATCACTGAAAGTACTGAAAGCACTTCAAGTGTTATATTGAACCAAATAGCAAATCAGCAGCTGTGATTAGCTTGAATTCACTTCTTCCTGACATTGAGCGATAAGTAGAACCACATACTAATAATTCCCTTTTTTGAAATCTTTTTAGCGATCCATCACTTTGTAATATGGCTTCTTTCAGACTCCGCAGCATCGGCTGCACTTGCATTAAATTCTGTTGCGTCCGTCCTTCTAACAGGAGGAAGGATCCACACAGCCATTGAACCTCTCAGCCAGACCCAAGACAGCCGAGCCTCTTCGCTCCCCGACGTCCCCGACACAGAGTCTGTTCTCCGGAAACAAGACCAGCCCTTCAGGCATGGGCAAAGGCCGCATCCCCAGCCCCATCCCCAGCATGGGCAGGAACACCTCTCTGGGTAGGTGACAAACACATACATGTACTTTAACACTCCTTTACACATATCTAGGATCGGCCACCCAGTGCAGCAGCTCTGCGACTTTGCTTCTAGAAGTACAATAGCATTGGATTTACTGACATGTTCAATGAGAATCATATAACCAAAAAAAAAAAAAACTGTGAGGGGAAACTCTGACGCACTCTACACATATATGCTCTGTGGTGCACAAACAAACACTCATGTACTTTCATACACCACCGTATTGTTCACATCTGTACTGTACATCCACCCAGAGCAAACACGTCCTCACTCCAGCATGGAACTTTGCTTTCCCCTCGACCGGAAAAACAAAAACATTACCCACCCAAACACCTCCCTCCTCCCCCCCCGCCACCCACAGACAAACCGAGCAGCGTCGCTTGCGCCTGATAGACTGCAGACACCTCAACCCCATGAGGAGACCTGTGTGTGTGTGTTTGGTGTGTGTGTGTTTGTGTTTTACAGGAGTCCAAAGCCCTGTATTTAGCCCCAATGAAAACCCCGGCAGCGGAAGCAGTGAAACCCAGCACACGTTATTTGGTTTTTAAGAGCTTCCTCACATCATTGTCTGCCCGCGCTAGACCTTTTATGCCCCTACCTCTGCTATCTGTTATTAAGGCCAATCTAAACCCTCTCATTATATCCCCCCAGAAAACAATTTCACCAGCTCATCTGGAGTGGCTTTGAGGACGCAACGCTTCTGTTCCCTGCAAAGTTATTTTTTGCCCTTTTTAACGGCCACCCAAGCATACAGTGCTTCCTACATGTCTGCTAATTAAACGAGGAGGGCGACGGAAACTTTGCATCCTTTTATTTATTTTTTTTTCTTATTCTTCAAATGTGCATCGGCTTCAAAAGTGTGAAGCACGTAAACAAGGGGGAGGAGGCTGTGTTGAGCTTAGACACAAGTGGACTGGAAAACAACTTAAACAACATTTGGACCTGATATGAGATTGGAAACCCTATTTTTACACAGTTGTGTAAGCGGTTTTTAATGGGAATTTATGCACAGCCATTCAGATTTTTTGGTTTTTAGCGCTGGTGCTTTGTTTTCAAAGCCCAGTAGTGTTTATGAATAAGCATGAACGTCACTCACAAGCACAAAACTGGGTTCTTCAAGGTTTAGTTGTGGTTCATCTGACTGACAATTGTCTGGTTTGTTCAAACTAAACTGAATAAATGAAAAGGACTCACAAATCAGAATTTATAAAGCTATGTAAATTAGCGCTTTGAAAACTGGGATGCTGGAGTTTAACAGCGTAGTTTAGCTTGAACTATTTCATAATAGAGCCATACAGAACTTTTGTGACAGGTTATGTGTAAGGACAAAAGTTTCAAGATTCATTCTGTGGTACTTGTTGTGTAAAGACTGTGTAGGCTTTAAAAAAATAAAATAAAATAAAAAGTCTTTGATTTGAAAATATATTTAAAAAGTCATGCTTTAGCTACTTGGTTAAGATTAAAATAAGATAAATGCCTGACAATCTACCTTGTATTCATATGTTTAATAGAGAGCATCTCCTGCCAAAAATGTAAGAATTTTGGTCCTTTATGTACGATGCACACACACTTCAACATTTAGCAGCGTTTGAATAACAATACAATGACATGTGTGAGGTTGTTGCATATGTTCCTACGCAGTTAAATCTCATCAAACCACTTATTAAGACTTATGGTGTTTTGTCTTTTCAGTCAAAGTAACATGCAGTTGTCTCTCTCCTCTGTTCTGTCTTTCCTCTACAGACATCCTGTCCAGCCTCAACTCCACGGCGCTGTTCGGGGACCAGGACGCGGTGATGAAGGCCATCCAGGAGGCCAGGAGCATGAGGGAGCAGATCCAGAGGGAGCAGCTCCACCAACAGCAGCAGCAGCCGGGACACCAGAGTCTGGAGGCCAAATTGTCTGCCTTGAGCAACATGAGCCTCAACAACGGCAACAAGGTTAGAGCGACAGATGGGTCACATGTGGATGCATGAGAGGATGCACAGACACACAGAAACTTTTCACTGATGAGGCTTACAAGAATCACATGGTCTAAATGCAGTTTTCAAAGGCATTTTCTTTCATGTGAAGAAAGAATTCTGATCTAGTTACAGAATACGGTCACATATATTACATTAAAAACCTGCTAAATAAATACAATAACTAGTTAGCTCTCTTATCACTAAGCCATAAAACACTGTATTCATGATTTTGATCTACCCTTCTGAGATTATAATTGCAGGATTTTTACTTGTAATAGAGTATTTTCACTATGCACTGGCACTGCTTCTCATTCAATTAAAGATGTGAGCACATTTTCTTGAAGAAGTGCAAGAAGAACAGTGTGGTACGGAGATGATCCTTCTTACATTTCTCAAGATTTGTGTCGTACTCTCTCTCACTTCTTAACGCACACACATAGAAACACACAGACACACCTCTGTGGTTCTGCAAACTCCTCGCTCCTGTGTCAAATTTTCTCCAGCATTTCATTGGCCGAGTGTTCAAGGTTTCTGCTCAGCTTGTGCATGAGTTTAAAAAATATTCATGGATGATATTTGGTGTCATTTGGCTCGGGCTGCAGCTCTTGAGAACTTCTCTTTTCTCCTCTCATCTCCACGGCCACCCAGAAGCCAACAGCTTTGAAGAGGGAGCAGCTGGGCCAATGACAAGTGATGGTTTTGGCGTGTTAGTGTGTGTGTGTGAATGTGTGTGTGTGTGTGTTTGTGTGCCTGCCTTGACTGAGTGGGTGTTTTTTTGGAGAAGAGATGATGTTAACATTAGTGTGTGTGTGTATGTGTGTGTGTATAATGGAGTCCAGCTCTCCACTTGCCCTGGAGGGGGGATCCCGGCCTCAGGGTTTTAGCCCAATTAAAGGGCCTTTCTCAGGGAATGCGCCTCCCCCCCTCCACACTCACCTCTACCCCCGCTCATCTTTCCCCCTTGGGCAGAAGGAGACAGGGTCTTTGTACCAAGATCTCATATCCAGAGGGAAATCCATATTCCAAAACATCTTCAATCAGTCTGATCAGCCAATCACGGATTCTCGGGATCAGACATTCAGTAAAATAAGGAACATGATTAGACCGGCTCTCCTGCGCAATTGATCCCATGTTGCTTGCAGGGATGAGGAGAAGGAGGAGGAGAGGAACTCATGAATATTTTAGGGGTGGAGACTTTGAACCCACCAACCCCAAGTAGGTCATGATTGGTGCACTCCAAGGATAGGCTGTTTTGAATTTTTTTGGACTTGTTTGCCTTGCATCTTCAGGAAGAAAACATCCAAAATCTGGCAAAATATATCTCTGCTGTACTTATCCTCAGTCCCAAGTTGTTTTTTTTTATAAGTCATTATACTAGTAAACACTGAGAAAACTCATAAATATAAATTATACAACAGCCCATACTGATAAATTGTTTATTAAGATTTAATGTAAGTTGTCTGCTGCAGGTCCAGCAAAAATCCCAGCAATGCTCTCAAATAAGTTTGTGCTTAAAAAAGCTTTTTTGCCCAAAGTTAACTTTGAAATAATCACATATTAAGGTGAGTGTGTTGCAGGGAGAACCCTACGTGCTTCTCAAGCTCTATATTTCCCAACTTTATAGGAACAAAACCAAAGCAATGCAGTAATTTGGTTTATAGCTGCATGCCTCCTAATAAAAAGCTCATTTGGAAAGTCTCAAAGTAATTGTTTCCGGTGCGAGGACGACAGCAGGCCTTGGTGTTTGTTGTCAGTTTGTTATTCGTTACCTAACAACAGCAGCTCAAAGACTCTTTCTCTTAGCTTCAAATACAGAATTTTTTCATTGGGATGGAGAAAGTTTTTTTGTGTTTTTTTTTTCTTTCTAAAGTGCTCAAAGGCTTCACTCTGTCTTAAACAATTCATGGATGGAACTTGCTGGATACTGAGAGTGTGACTCACCCGTTCCACCTCGGGAAGCAGCAAGACCAACTCTTTTTCTTTACCTTGGATTTGTATGTTGTTTTCTGTTCGTCAAATAAATTTGTTACTCAAATCCTCCCCTCCGAAACTTTGAGGCTGTGCCGAAGCCTTTTTGTTTTATGACATTGTACTAACGCAGCAGATTCGGCTTCTTTGGAGGGAATGAGGCAACTGCTGCAAATGGTATCTCAGTGTAATGTTGAATGTTGAGCTATTTATTGCCAACGCTGATTCGACTCAAAGGGAGTCGCGGTGACGTCTGAGCGTGTGCGTTTGTGTTTGTTAGGCTTTCTGTTTGTGTATTTCTGTCCCACAGCATTCATTTCAAGCATAGACGAAATAGACATAGAGCTGAAAGTGATCCCAGGCTCCTTTGTGTGTGTGTGTGTGTGTGTGCGCGCGTGTGTGTGTCCTGGCTCTGCGCTGGCCTTGGCCATGTTAATGTCATTATAGCTGGTGTACAGACGAGAGGCCTGGCCAGTTAGTGGCATTGTTGAGTATCACCTTACGCTTACGTTGCTTCCAGCTGGTCGAAGGCTGCCAAAGCTCACTGAAATAGCCACTGTGTATGACTGTGTGTGTGTGTGTGTGTGTGTGCATAAAACACTGTGTGCCTCTTTTTCATCTAAACAGCCACAAAACACTCCCTAAACCCACTTTAAGGAAAACACAAAATTTCGGAGAGATTGGCACGTTACTCAGCTTACATGTTACGTGATGAAACATCCGAATCACAAGGAAAACTTGTGCAAGCTCTAACTGTACACATTGAGATATGCCTGGTACCCTTGAAGAAGACATTGGTAACATTTACATGACATAGAAGAGAAAAAGAAATAATAACACATTGCTTTGAACCACGAGGGAATACTTTTTCCTGTTTCCATAGGAGATGAATCTGGTGGGTGACAGCAGACTGAGTGCAGGTTAATCTGCAGGTCACAAAAGAAGGAACACAAATAGTTTTTTATTACCATAAGATCTGTTTTCTCACTTTGGGTAATGTTGGTTATGCACACAATCACTCAGCAGACAGCTCTGAACTGCGAGCATTGAATGATGGGGACACATGAATTTTTTGGCATCTATGCTGCTTGCATAATTTAACTGTGAAGTTGACTGAAGGGCTGATGTGCCGAAACCTGCTGTACTTCTCTAAGGCTGTAAACAGATCCATCAAGAAATCTGAAATCAAAAAAAAAAAAAAAAGTTAATAAGTCTGAAAACAGAAACACAATGTAAACAAAGAAAACATTTATTCAAATCAGTTTACAATAAACAACATCAAATTTTGTTGACCAAAAACAGTAAAGATCTATTTCCTGTCAAAGATCAGTGTTAGCGGAATTTGTAAATGCAATTTATTAAGCACACATTTTTGTGTATGTACTTGTAGTTCATTAAACTGTTAATAAAATATTTTATTTAGCAAAATCTGTAATAAATTGTATCATAGCCCTCAAACTACATGTGCATTCCTCGAACACCTAACTGTGGATAGTTTATACAGTTTTGTATTTCACCAGACCTGTAAATTTACTTTGATTTCATGCAGCCCATTATAGAGAAATGTCTTTTGTCTGTACCCTGTTTAAGTCAGTCAGCGTGCTTTCTGGTGGCGAGGCAGAATAAGTCTGAAAGAAGGAGAGCAGGGAGGAAATGGTTGTATAGAAGTTTATATTGGCTCTGATGGTGAGTTTGGTCTTTGTAGGAAGCGAGCCTGTGAAACCAACAGCTCAGACGGCTCCAAGTCTTGATTAAAGGTCGACGTAATGCTGCTGCATTTGAAGCCTGAATGATATACATTATAATAATGTACACTACAAAGCTGAGTCTGGCACCTGCAAATAGACTGTTGAGTGTCTACTTCTTGGTTGGAGCCTGCAGGGGTGGAGGGCTGGCGGTGGGGTGTTAAGGGCTATGAATAGGAGAAATGGTGAAAAGGAGAAGGAGGGGAAGAGGAAAAAAAAACAGAACAGGGCTGAGTGACAGCTCTATCGGCACACAGCGAAGTCTGGAGGAGGAAAGGGAGAAAGAAACATGAAGAAAATAGGAGGAGAGAGAAAACGCCAGGCAGGGGGACTGAGGAGGCTGCCAAACTTGATTGGTCCGGGAGGAGACAGTAAACGGTTGCGGGTCAGCTGGAGGCAGGCTGTGCTGGCAGTGTGCGAGTTGTAACTGTGGTAATGAGCTCAATACAGTATGGATTTAAAAAAAACAGCAATGTTTGGAGTGTTACCCTAGCAACAGTGGAGAGACGCAAACGCCAAGAAGAGCAGAGACCAAGCAGAACAAAAAGAGTCGGGTGTCTCTTAAATTTAGAAATATACATTCAGCAGCAACACATTCAGAGACCAGCGAAAGCAATAGTGTGCTAAAAATATGGTGGCTGCAGAGTTGTGATTTCTTTCTGGAGGTACTTGTTTGTGCAGAATGAATGTTGTAAAGTAAATGTTGCACTCCTCTTTTTCTACTGTGTTTTTTAAATTTTTTATTTAAGTGTACAAAATACAAATGGAGTCCAATGAATGTGGAAAAAAAAATCTATAATGCTGCTCCAAAAGGCAGCAGTCCAGTTGCAAACCAGCAGGCGCACTGGCCAAACCTATTTCAATCTTGACTAAACAAAGGAAAGACAGCTCCTTATTGCATTTGCCACAAGAACTTTCAAGAAGACCAAAAGTAGACCAACCGCAGGGAATATTTGCAAATTTTAACTCAGGTCTGCTGTTAATCTGTAGTTTGGATCATTCTACCTCTATTGATGCTGTCCTAGTCCATTTTCCAAAACCCTAACTTTACTCTACATTACTTTTCCACTGGTCTCCTCCCATTCAACAGAAACAGTCGTACATCTCTAACTACTTAGGTTGTTTAGAAATTATGCACTATAGGACATCTGACATGCAGGATGTCCAACATCCAGTGACAAAATGCCAAAGTTCGACTCATTTCCAGAGGTCTGACAGCATCATCATGAGCAATGACTGCTTTCCCCAGGCAATCGTTTAGCACCGTGAGCTTAAAGGGAGGTGCAGCGAATTTAAGGACTTATTCTTGTCTCTAGACTAGTTTTCCATTCCACCTCCTCCTTCCTCTTTTGCTTTCTCTATCTCTCTATGTCCGTCCCTCTTTCTCTCTTTTCTTTAGTCCTTTGTTAGGCGGTTGCTTCCTGCGGTGAGCATGGCACTGCCCAGGCACATGTTCTGTGGTAGGCCTGATTACAGCCCTGCTGTAGTGCTGACATTGGCCCGCACCGGCTCCTCGTCTATAAACACACACACGCACACACACACACAGACACACACACACACACACACACACACAAACACACGCACACACGTCGGCCCCTAAGTTCCACCAACTCTGCCAGCGGCTACCGCGGCATGACTTCACCCGGCAACCATTCCTTGCGTCAAACAAAATGCCTCTGTCACCAGAAAAAGGAGGAGAGCCGAGAGGGAAGAAAGGGGGAGGTGGAAGGTGGAGGGGGAGAGTGTAGATGTGCGGTAGCTGTGCGGAGGGTTCGATGTTTTCCACTGCAGTTTAGGAGCGTGGTGGGGTAATTTTAGCTGGAAGGCCCCAAGGCAAGCTGCTCGTAGAAGTTATTTGTCTTAGAAGTGGAGTGGCAGGCGAGAGGTCCGAATCAGAGAGAGCACAAATGATGATGGGAGACCGAGGACGATCCTGATGACTAGCCTTAATGGGGCCATGCCTTGTCTATTAGTTTATTGCGTTAACCAACATTATTACTTGTTTCCTTTAGATACTGTAAAAAAAAAAAAAAAAAACAACGGTAAAACGAGCAGCCCATTTCGGAGGGCGGTGCTGGACCTCTCTGTGCCAGCTCAACCCAGCAATTTGTTTTATTGTCATTACCATCAAAGTCATCCCTCGTGACCCAATTTAAAAGATGCCAGGTTACTTGAGCCAGCCATTAAATAATAAAAACTGAATAGAAGTTGAAAACTTAAGAGAATTTATTTTTTTGGCAGCTTGCATCACGTTCCTCAAACTTCAACTGCATCATATTTGCATCTTGCTTCAAAATACCCTTCTGTGCGTTTTGTTATATCGTAGGAGCGGCTGCACTATGAGACTCTGAGCCAGCACCTAGGGAAGCTTGGGGAGGATGCTGGGAAGATGGTCCATCGAGTCATTGACCTGACGAGACCAGAAGATCTGGACGGTAAGCACCTCTGTCTTTTATATATGTGCTGCCCCTTTTCTCACTTTCCTTAATTCTTTTCTCTTAGTTTGTAAATTCTGTTTAGTTAACTGGTTGCTTATATTCTTTGTAAATCAGAAATGTATTTAGATGCGTAAAAATAAGAATACAACACAGTCAAAGTTAGGGGCTAAGTCAGTCACATCCTGTTCAGACAAAATTGCCAGGAAGCCTGAACATGCAGGTATTCATGTTGTATTCAGCAAATACAAATATTTAATTGACTCCTCAGGAGGCCTCAGTGAAGGACACCCTCAAAAATTAAACAAAGTGCATAGTGTTAACATTTTAGGCTCTTGAAAATTTCTAATGTCATTATTCGTGCAAGCACATGACAAGAGACAGAATTCTCCTCCTTTTTTCCACAAGTAGTGCTTGTAACACAAGATCCCACCCAGTTTAGTTCAAGTATGCAAACTAAAGTAGGTGAAGACAGGCAGCATGTTTGTTGTAGTTAATTAGAAATAAGTATTCTCAAATGGTTTAAATGATGGCTTTTTATTAACTGAGTTTTATGCACTATTTATGTACTATATAGTCAATGCATTTAGTAGATACTGCTGTGTAAAACGCTGTTCGTATCACTTTTTCTAAACGTAGTCTCCACACTGCGCTTCTGTGTTTAAGTTTTTTTTTCTCTCCAACCCACCTGTTTCTCATAAAGCACTACTGTTTACAGGCGATGAGCAGTCGAGGGGTGCTCATCGTGGTTTAGTTTAGAGTGAGAGGAGTAAACACAGGAGCCCAGGCACTGAGATAATATCAGGCGGACGCAAACTGACTACAGTGTGCATGTGTGTTTGTTAACGTGGAGGGCATCCCAACAAGACCCCATTGGACTTTTGTTATACTTTTGTTATACATCCTCTTCCGAGAAGGGGCCTCATGAAGACACTAACAGGAAGGGCTCATCCCTAGCGGTGCTATACACTGTATTTAAAGCATAAAAGTATGAGCGATGCATGTGTCAGTGATGGACATACAGCGAATGCTGTTCCTTTGTGTCGCCCAGGGAGTAGCATCACAGAGGCGCGAGTGTTCAGGGAGGCACGAGGCAGGAACAGCAGCGAGCCCCATATCAAGAGGCCCATGAACGCCTTCATGGTGTGGGCCAAAGACGAGAGGAGGAAGATCCTGCAGACTTTCCCTGACATGCACAACTCCAACATCAGCAAGATTCTTGGTGAGATTTTACAGATTTATCTTTGATCAGTGAAAAACCTGCATGAACACTTCGAGGGTTTCATCTTTATTTCCTTTTGTTTCAGAGGTAGTTAGAGTGAAATGCACACAAGAGCATATCAGTGTTTGTCTTGGTTATTAAACGATGATTACAAGAGTCTGTTACTGGAAGCATTTTCTGAGCTGTTCTTGGCATAAGAGCTTTTATGTGAACTACGACGATCAGGTTCTCTTCCCAGCATGAACTGATATTAAATCTCATATAAAGTCACACATGAACCTTAAATCGGGAACTCGATAAAAACAAATACAATTCGCCTTAAATGCTATGTATCAACATCTTACAGAGACACATACACAAACTCATCACTGTCCCCTCTTCCATATCACATTCAACGATAGGGTGCACATTTCAGATTTTTAAGGCCACCTTCTCTGTTCATTAGGTTCCCCTGCCACCATATTCTACAGTTCACAGGGTTTCTTCCCGACAAGTGGCGGACCATGAGAAGGACTAGTGTGTTTTTCAGCCTGGAACACTCCACACACAGAGCTCCACTGTGTCGGCCTGACCAGTGTGATGGATGCATTCAGTTAAAATCCATGTAGATTCCTACCTCCTCAACACAGATATCCATTCACACGGCGCTGAGCATAACGGTTGCTCGTGAAATGTTCTTAAGACCTCTACTGTCCAACGCAGCATTCAAGCGAGCTTGAGGGTTGCCGAATGTAAATGCTCCTCCTGAGCGACGTGAACAAATTGCTTTTTCTTTGGTGGGTTGGCGTTATTGACTTGGATCTTTGAATGGGCTCCTACAAAGTGGTCTTTTTGCATTCTGCGAAATAAAACCTAAATTTATTGGATTATTCCTTTTTGTTTTCAAAAATCTAATTATGTCAGTGACAGGATTTACTTTTAAGTGGGATATTTAAAACCCCTAATTTAATGAACCATTACAATGATATTATTTGATTAAGCAAAGTAGTTGACGTTGAATATGAAGAGTGACCACTACAAATCATTTTCTAGATTTTTACTAAACTTCTGCGACAAGATTGCAGCAAAAAAACAGAACTGTGTACATGTATATGACTGTATGTGTACAATGCATGCCTCTCCAACAAAATAACACAGCTGGACTTTGGGGCGTGGGTGGGCGACAGGCTTTAAAAACTCCTCTGTGTTTCCTGTGTCACAAAAGTACAAGAAGAGTTTGTGATAAACCTTGATAAACAGAGGAGCGAGGCTGTGTGTGTATAATCAGTTGTCAAAGTGCTTCACAGATGTGCTGCGTTCCTGCACTTGTTCAGAAGGTCCTCTTACCGAGGAAAATAAGAAGTACACAATGTACTACATCATTCTTCTTGAGCCAAGAGGGAGCAGAGTGTAATCCACTCCTGATTTTAAACAGCCTCCATGGTTATAGACTCAACAGTGTCTCTTCACATGAAGACGTCCAACCTTAAGAAAGCGCCATGAAATACAAAAGCTGTGACTCTTATGTATGAATGAATTATGTACTTTAGAAATGAGAGTATGTATGCGTTGTCACTGATGAAGTCCTCGTTACATCAGTTTTTTGAGAAATTCTGTGGTGCTGAGCCCCATTCATCAAAACTGTTTATTAAAAGTACTTCCCAACAAATCTTTGAATTGACAGAAGTTTAAATTTAGTCACCTCCTAACATTTTGTCACTTCCTAAAGTCCAGTAGCATTGACTTATTAAGATACTGTGTGTCATGACCTAGTGACACTAAAACAACCAAAAACTACGAAACAAACACGAAAATTATTTATTTCCAGGCTCTCGCTGGAAAGCCATGACCAACCAGGAGAAGCAGCCATACTATGAGGAGCAGGCCCGCTTAAGCAAGATCCACCTGGAGAAATATCCCAACTACAAGTACAAGCCGCGGCCCAAGAGAACCTGCATCATCGACGGCAAGAAGCTGCGCATCGGAGAGTACAAGCAGATGATGCGCTCACGGCGTCAGGAGATGAGGCAGTTTTTCGTGGGGTGAGTATAGTTGTCCCTGAATGTTAATGCTTGCACTTGCTTGTACGAGGCAGGCACGACAGACTGCCTAAAATGCATACTGTAGTGCAGTTGCAGCACTTTGACCATGTGTTTAAATCTGTTATTTTTACAACTTAGTATGGCTGCATATCCGCAGCAATAAACATCCCTGTAGCATTAGTTATTGCTTTGGCCAGATCATCAGGGACAGGCTGGAGGAGTCTGTTTCTGTGTCAATCCATTTATCCAGTGGTTCCCAAAGTGGGGGTTGGGGTCAAGATGCTAGCAATTGCTACAGACAGAAAGACTAGGTAAATGTACCCATCTCTGAGGACCTCGGAGGTCATGAGTCTGGCACCATTATTTTGGGGCTGAAAGGTTTCTGTTCTAAACAACACTCCAGTGATGCTGTCATAAATGACTTTGCATGTTTCCACATACCAACCTGACTTCAACTGAACAATACTGAATGCAGCTTTTGCCCAATCCAGTTCTCTTTGCCCATTTTCACTGTAGCTAACTGGAAAGCTATAATGCTCCCACACAATGGATCTAAATATATTGGAGTGACTCTGTAGCTCTGGCCTCCCACTTACATGTGGAATTAAAACAGCAGCGGTATCCACAGTACATGATCTAAGCTAGCGAAGGTAATCCTGCTTTCAAGCATGTTGTACTATGGTCGCAGGGAAAATGCTACGGGTGAAACTTGTGTTCTGGAATTTCCGTTCCAGCAGTGCAAATATAAATAGATAGACAAATATGTAGATAAATAGAACATTTCTCACATTAATTGTTTGGCTAATGAGGCATGCTAACCTCAGGACATTTCATTCCAGTCATGCCATCGAGATTGAGATGAACGCATGTACCACACGAAGTTTGGAAGTCAAAAGCCTTGGACAGGCTTTGTCTTTCTCAAGAACCCTTTGAGTCATTTACTTTGCAGCAGAGGCCTTTCAGTTCAATTATCTGTTAAATAAACTTGCCATCCCGCCAGCAACCTTGACCCAAATATGGGTACACAGAAAAGAATTACCAAAATAGAAGATAAAACATCAATATGTAATCACAAAATTATTTTCTCGTGTTTCGTGAAGGATTTTTGGGAGCACCTCATTCAGACACTAAACAATTTTTCACTTTATGTGAGGTCTTTTTTCTTAATGTGTCACAGTATGAACAGAAAAGAAACATTTGTAACTGCATCCATTTGCTGGAGGTTTGTGGAGTGACCATTGGGGTTTATGGACTTTTTATGAAAGGTTTGGAACCTCCTGTGGTTCTATCTGCAAAATCCTTTAAACATTTGCTGAAGAGCATAATATTTTTTTCGAGCGTAGTGAGTGCAGCAAGGGGAAAAACAGTGGCATTGTCTTAATAGGAACCAGTCGTGGATGTGTTTAAAGCCATCACAGCAGCCTGTGTTTGAAATGGATTTACCAGAGGCCACAGCTTTGAATAGGAGCGATTTTTAATAGCTTGTCATTTATTAAATTAGGACAATGCTGGGCGCTTGCGGCCAGTGAAATTGGACACAGACAGACATAGTGGAATATGAAATGTAAGCAGATGTTTAAGAGGGAATGAGCACGAGGCAGACGTCACAGGCTGAATGCCACATTTACTGTGTGTGGTCAAGTAAATGCAAAAAAGCTTAGATTCTCCAGGTCTGGACTTTCAATTAAAGCTAAATCATACAGCTACCGGGAGCCAGTACACAAGCAGTTTCTGGCACATTCCATATAACTAAACCAGTGTTGTTTTAAAGTGTTTAACGTGAAAATGAGTCTGTCAGAGTGTACAGCAGTAATTGTTTCAGGAGACAGAGGAGGGAAAACTGTTAGGTGAGAAAGGTGACAGCAATTTTCCTGCTTTATGTGGTTCATTTGTGGAGCCAGAGGGCCTGTTTGAATGATGTGCACTTACCCTCATTCCATCTATATCTTAACAGGTTATTTAACTGATGCTGCTGTGAGCTGGCAGGTAGAGCTCCATGTTAAGACATGCTCGACTAGATGAGAAGCGTTGCTGTTCAACAGAAGCGGCTTTAGAAGTAATGTTTTGTTCAAAGCTAAGGATAATGAATCAGGGATCAAAAGCCGATCTGTCCAGCTTCCACAGTAACCAGCTGATATATAAAGTGCTGTTATGACTAAATTATTAGATTTTTTTTTCACGTTCTCATCATTAAAAGAAGAATTTTATGCTGTTACTTTGACTTTTTACACATGCTGCTAGGATTGGCACAACTTTTTATACAGACATTCATAGTCTCCAGAGGATGGATCCTACTTACTTTGGTTATCCCTGACTTTTCCTGTTGTGCTACCAACACCTTAACTTTTGTGATTTTGAGCGAAAAACTCAACTATTTGATGGATTTTTATTTGACGAAATTTTGTGTGAGCATTCGTGTCTCCCTGAGAATGAATTGTAACAACTGTTGATCCAACCAACATCAATGTTGGTAATTAAACCAACTTAATATTGTGTGTAATTTAAACAAAAATGTCTGTCTTTATTCCTTAAAAACAAAATTCAAATTGTGGTAAATTAATTTAATTGGCTTGTTGACATTTTCTCCACAATGACTTCACAGTTTTAAGTCCTTAATAACTTAAAAAGATGTGTTTATGTGGATAGCAGTTAGCAACTGGTAATTTAAATACCACTAATTGTCTAAAAAAAAAAACCTCATTCCCCAAACTCAACATACTTTGTTGGATAAAGATAATAATAATAACTCAAAAAGACAAACCATATTTTTTGTTGTTGTGTCTAAACATTTGGTCAGAGTGCATAATGTACATCAACTTGCTTATTGTTTACCTGCATTAAACACTTTTTGTTTTGTTTTCCATCTTTCCTTTTTTTTTTCCTTGGTTCTTAGGCCTCAGCCACCGATTTCTTTGGGCAACAGCCCAGGAGGTGTTGGAGTTTACCCGGGCGCCATAACTATGGCAACAACGGCCACACCATCCCCACATCTGACCTCAGACTGCTCCAGCAACTCAGCCAGCCCTGAGCCCGCCATCCCTGTCATTCAGAGCACGTATGGAGTGAAGTCCGAGTCTGGGGGTGGCGGAGGCAGCAACGGTGGTGGGGTTGCAGCCTTGGATCTGCCCAGCGACCCCACCAACGGAGACGACGACATGGACATGTATGACGACTTTGAGGACGAGCCCAAGTCAGACTATAGCAGCGACCATGAGACACGGGAGGCTGTCAGTGCCAACTGAGTGTGCTCAGAGTGTCAGATGTAAAAAGAGAAGAAGAAAACAACTCCCGTTATACTCAGAGACACTTCTTAAAAACACAGTTTATTACAGAGACCTTCAGGCTGACTTTCAGGACATGTTGCATCATGCACTGAGCATGCCCCGATCGGATTTCAAATCAGCAGACATGCTCAGAAAGTTCTCGGACAGTATTTTGATGGACGTCCATTTGAAGACAAGGGCCAGAGGGGGAAATGTGACCCAAGAACAGAACCCGAACAATCATTCAGACATCCAACTGACAATGAACTTCAGTTTCCTACACTCTGACAATCTTAACAGGAGCGTACAAGAGTTAGACAAGGGAGAGAATGAGAGAGAATGGGACAAAGAACAAATGAGTGACGAACACATTGCTGTGTGGTTTGTAAAGAGCATGCATGGATTTTGAAGCATTAGGAAATGGTCTTCAGCAGCTATTTGGTCTTAAATGTTTAAGGAGTGAACTAGTTTTTATCATTATGTATTTACTTTTTGTGTTTTTTTTTTTTCCCTTTTGCTTTTTGTTCTATAGACTTTTTTCTGACAGGTCACTGCCTGTACAAACTCTGGACTGTCGGAACTTGAAATTTGGAAAATTTTTAATATAAATACTAGCTCTTGTAATCTTATAGTCTTACTTCTGTTTCTTACGAATTCAGTGCTACATCTTTTTTTTCTGACAAACTGCTTACATTACATTGCTGTTGGATTCCTTTTTTTTTTTTTTTTTTTTAAATATCCCAGCTCAGGTATGATGTGCCAGCTTGTGAATGTGTTTTTTGTTTTGTTTGTTTTCATACAAAAAGAGTGGTAGGACTTTTCAGACTGTCAATGAAATAAAGGGAGAAAATCCCTTCTATTACATTATTATTATTATTATTATTATTATTATTATTATTTAGTAAGTGAGTACCCAGACATTGTACAGATTTTCTTCAAATGTGCCAAACATTCACATTCACTCGGGATGTTGTAGTCTTAATTTCCAATGCTGCAAAAAAGTCTTATACAATCAGTTTTTTCTATCTGATGAGATGATTTCCTTCTCAGTAATTGCTGGCTCCCCTCCTAGCCCAATCACAGGCAGAGCTCAGGGAGGATATGTTTTAATCACACTCGCTCAGTCACACACACTTTGTGTCGCTCTCTGGCAGCCCCACCGGCCTCGAGACATAGTTAGGAGAGCAACATCGAAGGCGTCTGTTCCTGTATTCCACTTCATTGGTGCTTTCATGAACCACATTGCCCGTAGTTCCTTGTGGCCAAACACTTTTGCAGTAAGTGCGGTGCAGTATAGTACCAGCATATGAGTCTGTCCCTTTAAATCAGGCTAAAGGATATATATATATTTTCAGCTTAATTTCACTTTAAGAATGCCCGAGTCTTAAATGTGCATCTTAAGCTCTGCTCACACAACATCATAAGAAAGGGGAAGGAGCAGCCCCATGACGACCCTACTGTAGGACAAGAGATTCTAATATCATGGATCCCTTTACTGTATTATGTTTTCAATCAGTACAAAATTGTACAAAATGTTACTATTTTATTAGCTTTTTCATTTTTAATTGTCTTCTTAGCATCAAGTGGGAAAGATATGTTTTAAAACAGAATTGATATATTTGCAAAAAAAAAAAAAGGGGGTTTATTAGCTGTTATTTCAGAAGATAACCTTTTTCTACGCTTGCGTGTATATTTTGAAGAGGAGTAAATTATTACGAGAAGAATGGAGAGGAAAAAGGTGCATAATTCTCAATCATCCTCTTAGCCACAACCGCCCCAGTCAGAGCACACACATTTTTCCACAGTCTGAAGCGAGATGCTCCTCTTTCGTCTTGATGCAGCCCAGCGGTCAGCAGCATGCTGAGCGCACAAACTTTTTCCTCTGTTTTACCCAAATGTCATGTTCTTTCTCTGAAGACGCACCGTAGTTTTACGTCATCTCCTTCTCACTGCATTCTTTACAATTTTTTAATATGTTTCCATTTTCGAAATCTTTGGGTGGTTTCTGGGTGCTCTGTTTAGCTGCTTCATGCATCTTCTGACTCCAAAATTTCTCCTTATGACCATATCTAGTAGTTTTTACTTGGAAAAGCTTCACAAGCTGGGACTAAACATTGATTTTTGCTTGCAATACAAAAAAACCCATCATGCATAGACATTTCTGTTAGTGTCATACACATTCTAAGCACTGGATATAAATTCTATGTTTGTTTTTTTTTTGTTTTTTTTTGTAGTATTTGACTAATGTGAAGTTGTTGTTTGATTTAAACATGATAAATTAGAACAGTCAAAAGTCACATTTTTGGAGCCTCCTTCATGCCAGGCACCAGTGAATTGCCATTTCTTTAGAAACATTTCATTTATTTAAGCAAATTTTGATGCCGCAGCTCTAGTGCCGCCTAAAGGGGTCACATCACCTCTAACCTCATGCTCTTGTCAGTTGTGACCTGCAGAGGCAGAACACAAATTTCCTGGTCGCACACATTTTTTTTTTTTTGTGATGAGTATTGTATTTGAAATTCAATTGTGCGTTTTAACATTTCATTGTATTTATTAGCCAACTTTGGCTCTAAAAAGTGTCAGTACAACTTGGTGAGAAAGACAATCAAAAAAAATATATATAAATAAAAAAAAAGTAAAGACTTGAGATTTTCCTTACAAATCTGTCACTTCATCATTGCTTTTCAAGTGTTTCTTTGGCTTTTGTGGAAAGATGCGTTGAATATGTTGTAAAACTGTTCACTTGAGAGAAAGCACTCATACCACAGTATTGTGTTCTGTGTGTGTGTGTGTGTGTGTAATAGCACTGTGCACAACTTACAGGTAGTGCTGCATGAATTTTTATTTCCATTACTCTAAATAGTGCTCTTACTTTCCAGGGATCTAATGATTTCCAACACAAGGCTTTCTGTTTCCAAAGTCGAGCTATTCCACTTAGTCTTTATATTTTGGTGGCCCATTACAGTAAATGTGGCCTATTGTTCCATTGTGAGTGTGCGCGCGTCTGTGTGTGTGTGTCTGTGTGTGTGTGTGTGTGTGTGTGTGTGTGAGGTAACGCCACACATTCTGACTGTGCTGTGGTGTATACGCCACGGCGCCGGAGCTCGCTGCAGCCAATCCCAGCATTTCAGAGAGAGAAACAGAGAGCTCAGCCATATGCAGCCACATCATAAATCTAATTGTAATTCCCAAATCAACTGCAGCGTCACCCTGCGAGGGGCGCCGACAAGTTTGTCACACACTCCTTTGTGAGCACTTCTGTGTGTGCGTGTGTGTGTGTGTGCTGTGCTATAGCTTTTACTTGGGAGGGGTGTTTGAAATCATACTTGTGCAGTTGCCATGCTAATCTCGTTAAATAAGTCATCATAATTTACATTTCCTTTTTCCTTTCTGCAGGATGAACATTTAGCTGTTTGCAAGTTGACAGATTGCTTGAGTGTGTGCACAGTTGGTGTGAGTGTATGCAAAGCTTTCAGCACCTCAACAAAGGATAGTGTAGTTCATTAGTCACAGTTAAAGAACTATGCACCTACACTCATACAAACTTCATTTATCCCTGAAGGAAAATGACGCAATGCTGACTTTCCATTCCGTTTTCCCAGTTCTTAAAGCTACTGGTGGCTAAATGTAAAGAGTGTTTACATTTACAATAACAGAATAATCCCGTTGACATGATCTCGGATTGTAAATAATATTCTGAATTTATTTGTATGCAGTGTGAGACCCAAACTGTAACTACTGGACACCAGAAGTCTGCACATAGAGTGCATCATTCTCAAGCACCCATCAAGCAAAACACATTTCGAGTGGCGAAAGACAGAATATTGCACTTATTGTTTCACTTATTGCACTCTTTCTTCAAAAACAGTCTGTCCACATCTTCTGTTTGACTTTGCAACATCCCACGAGCCTTTGTATTGTGTGTTACCCAGCAAACTTTACTGAACACATCAGATCATCCCTACGATGGAAGCACAAGCTGAACAGAAAACAAAGAGTCAAAACAATATAATTTGCTGTAAAACTTGACGACTTGTCTGGTTACCATGACAATGGCTCCATTCAAAGGAGGGAGGAACTGACATTGTGATAAACTAAGGAGTGATTGCACAGACTTTAAATTTACCTTTCCTTTCTCTTGGGTTTGGTGTGTGCGGGGATGATGAGGTATAATGACATGCCTTCTTCATGAAAGCTTGGTGTTAGATGGGCCCTCTAGGCAAATTCACTTTTTGATTTTTAAAAACCATCTTGAAGAGTAGAGAGAACCACATCCTTTCTTTTCTTTTTCTTTTTTTTCTTTCCTCTGCACCAATCGGGCATTTAGATCAAGAGAATTAAAAATTGTTATTACAAAGGAGGAGCCCCCTTCAGACGTGTTGGAGAGGCTCTTTCAATGAGGCATCAAAGCCACCCTGTTTATGATCATGGAGGCTCCACTACTCATTAAAGCACACAGAATGGTCATGGTGCTGCAACACGCTACCATCCTCTTTGAGCTTATGATGCTTAATCATTCAAATGCTTTTGATTCAAAAGGGGGCTAATTGACCCTTGCACTTCCGTTGAGCTGACAGTGTTTCATGATGAGCGCAGTTTGTGTGATGTTGCAGGTAAAAAGTCGTCTACAAGTCTGCATTTGAGAGATATTTTTCTTCATCTAACTGTTCTTCGAACTACACTGCAATATGAGGCAGCTTTTGGATACAGTACAGTTGAAGCTGAAGCACATATTGGGCATTATATGTAATGCATAAGTAAAATGTATAGTTAATTTTTCCTTTGATTATATCATTAGACGATTTCCAGCTAATGAAAGTTGAGAGCAATTGCAAACTGGGAGGGGGAGTTATTAGAATTCCAAGGGTCAGCAGCCTCGGGAAGCCTTTAACAATGATTAAAAAGCTAAATGCAATACCTGAACAAAAGCAAATCATGCAACAAAAAAAAAAAAAAAAAACTTTGAAGGGAACTGCTTTAGCAGTTTCTGGGTTTCTATGTCTTTGAAACATTGCATAAAGGCATATACTTCTTTTTTAATGCAAGTAGAAGTGAAAGAAAAAAAAAAATCTACAGCACTTTTTCAGGAATGGACAAAAGGCCAATTTTTCCTTTTTGAGGCAAAGTCCTTGGGTCTTTTTAAGTGCATTAGTCCGCT